AGAGCAAGTAGGCAAAGAACAAAAGCTTCTGTCTTCCATGTCCTTTATATAGTCTGCCACCAGAAGGTGTGGCCCAGATTAAAGGTTCTTCCCACCTCAAAAAGATCCGAATTAAAAGTGTGACTTCCACAAATGATTTAATTAAGAAAAATCCCTCACAGGTGTACCCAACTGTTTGGCATTTAGTTAATTTCAGATGTAGTCAAGTTGACAAACAAGAGTAGCCATCACAGTAAGAATGGGTTGTGATTTAAATAACATTCTTTCACAAAGTTTTAAAGACCAGTTGACTGTGTGATTCCATTGTAGCATCCCTCTCAAGGCCTCAGTGCTGGGAAGTTGGACTTTAGATATTTATAGAGATAAAGGCGAACACTGAGAGAAAACTGAGCGACCTTCTGTTTGTAATTGATACTGTTGCTATGGTTCGGGAAAGGACGTTGTCCTTGACTCCTCTTTTGGAAAACTTCAACCAATCCCTCTGGCTATGTGGTTTTTTAAATAGTCCTCGGGGAGTTGGAGAAAAGCAGCCTGTCTTCGTGCCGCCCCTTCACAGGCTGAATGACCCACTGGGACCAAGTGGGCCAGGCCCGGCGTCACCTCACTTCCCAGCAGCCCTGAAGACTGGCTAGCTTGGCCTGCTGTGCTTTGCTTGCACTGTTCTCTTAATGGAAATCACAGAAGTACCTTCCTTACTTCAGAGGAGCAGTTTCCTCCTTTGGAACCAAAAAATATCAGTCTAAGGAAACAGCTAATGTGTTCAAGACACGGTGACGAGATGATCTCATTTTATGTTAAAGGTTTCAAAAGTTGAAATAATTTTTGGAACAAGAAGTAACTGAGATTCGGTGTATTTGATTAACAAGATAGTTTAAATATTTCTCATGGACAGAGAGTCTTTTAAATATTTTACCTATTTTTAACTATGTTAGCCAAATATAGCCTATATTTTACAGATAGCAAATTCAAGGAAATAGAGGACTACAGAGTTCTATGTAGGACACTCTTTTAATCTTAAAGTTATTGGGAGGTAGAGGCAGGCGCATTGCTGTGAGTTCAAGACCAGCCTGGTCTACAAAGCGGGTTCCAGGACAGCCAGGGTTGTTACACAGAGAAATCCAGCCTTAAATAAAAAGAAATTTAACATTTTCATAAGGACTGGGGCCTGGAGAGATGGCTCAGCTGTTATTTACTGCTCTTGCAGATGGCATGGGTTCAGTTCCCAGCACTACATGGTAGCTCCTACTATCATAACTCCAGTTTCAGGATATCTACCCTTTTTCTGACCTCCTTAAACACCAGACATGCACATGGGGCACATGTATACGTGCATACAAAAAGAACCCTTCACGTACATAAAATAATTCTTTAAAAATATAAATAGGGATGTTATTAATTCCAAACTAACCTTAAGCTGAATGCTTTGGACACTCATGCATATTCTCAGAAATCATGTGGTTCAGGTAGAGAGGAAACCTAGTATGTATTTGATACCATTACATGCCATGAGGCAGAATAAAATTATGTGCTAATCTACAAGTTACAGTTTAGAAAGCATGTGGTAAGATGTGCAGAGACAGAGAACGGAAAAAGGCTGTGGAGTCACCTAAGGCTTCACTGAAGGGTCTCAGATGAAAATAGGATAGGAGACAAGAAAAACAAGATTTCAGTGATACAATCCAATGTAGGAATTTTTACATGAACAATGGGCTTTAGTTCCTGGATTTCCCTGGATTTTTTTCTAAGATAAGCAATCATATGATCTGCAAATGGGTATAGTTTGTGTCTTTTCCAATGTGTATGTTTATTTCCTTTCCTTGCCATATTGTCTTTGTTGAGCAAATCTGAGGTTTTGATATCCTTGCCCTGTTGACTCAGAATACAGTTAAGTCTTTAATTATTAAGGATGATGTTCACTGAACATTGTTATACATACACATACTCTTATCTACTTCAGTTCTTTAATCTGTTGATATATTGGAGTTTGAGATATGGCTCAGAGGTTAAGAATACTCATTGCTCTTAAGAGAAGACCAAAGTTTGATTCCCAGCACCCATGTGGCAGCTTGCAACCACCTTTAACTCCAGTTCCAGAGGATCCGGTGCCCTGCTGTGACTTCCCTGAGCATTGCATGCACGTGGTACACAGATAACCAGGCAGAACATCTGTACACATAAAATAATTTAAAAAAACTTCTAATGGTCTGCAGTGTAGTCTGCCTTGTGTGCATTCCATGACAGTTGAACATACATAAACACTTGCACTGAATTGTGTGTTTATCTGTCTCTGCTTTCCCGCATGTCAGGCTTGGCTTCCACCTGCTTTGTAGCTCAAGGATTTGGTGCACACACATTTAGGATTACTGTATCTTCTTAAAAGATTCACTCTCTCTTGCCAGGCGGCAGTGGCGCACACCTTTAATCTGAGCAGTGGGGAGACAGAGGCAGGCGGATCTCTGTGAGTTCGAGGCAGTCTGGTCTACAGAGCGAGTTCCAGGGTATCCAGAGAGAATTTAAGAACTTCCAGCACTACACAGAGAAATTCTGTCTCAAAAAAACAAGAGAGAGAAAGATAGAAGAGTGTTTCACTCTTATTTATTCTCTCTCATCTCGAATTCTCTGGTAAATTTCATTGTTGTGCTTCTATTTCTTTCTTTCTTTTTTTTTGTTTTTTTCCTTTTTGTCAGTTTGACAAAAACTGGAATCATTTTGGAAGAGGGAACTTCAGTTTCAAAACTGTCTTCAGATTGCCTCTTGGCAAGCCTGTGGTGCATTTTCAGATTAATGATGGGTGTGGGAGGGGGAGGGCCCAGCCCACTGTGGGCAGTGCCACTCCTAGGCAGGGGTCCTGGGAGGTATAAGAAAGCTGGCCGAGCAGACTATGGGAGTGGGCCAGTAAACACTGTTCCTTCATGGCCTCTTGTTCAGTTTTTGCTTCCAGGTTTCAGCCTTGAATTCCTGCCCTTAATTCCTTTAGTGGTAGATTGTGAGTTCTAAGCTAGGGCCAGGGGGACTTTCCTCCCCGAGTTGGTTTTGGTCAGCATTTTATCTTAGCAGAAACCTAACTAGGACAACTGTCCACTCTGATACTTGTGCCACCACTGTAGCTTTCCTTTTCACCGATATCTGCTGTTCTGTCTTCCGCCCCTTTGAACTTTCCTATATCATTATATTTGTTGTGTTTCTTATAACTAATATATTGTTAGGTCACATTTTCTAATACATTCTATTAGTCTTTGTCTTTGAATTGGTATGTTTACACCTTATGTAAAGATTTATTTTCTTTTTTATTTGTGTGTGTGTGTGTGTGTACACATGTGTAAACATGTGTGACAGTGCTCGTGGAGGCTAGAAGATGGCCTCAGATCCCCTGGAGCCAAAGTAACAGATGGCACCTGTTAGCATGGGTGCCGGGAACTGAAAGAACAAGTGCTCACACTAGCTGAGCCTCCTCTCCAGTCCCCACATTATTTCTTTGTAATATAATGAAATGTTGGGGTTTAAATCTGCTGGGGTCTTTTCCCATTTACTTTCTGTAATTTACACCTGCTTTCATTTTCCTCTCTTCCTATGGGCTACTTGAGTGTGTCTGATGCTCTCACTTCATTTTATCTTTATCTTATTGTTTATCTGTGTATGTTCTTTAGAGGTTGCTCTAGACCTCACTATTGCTCAGGAGTATGGAAGGTCTAGCTCTGCTCTGTATCCTAACTTTAAGATGTATAAGTAAATAGGAAGGCCCTGACTCACCACTAGATTCCTTCAGTGTCATCTCGGTGGGATGGGAAAGACAACTTTCTTAAAATAGGAGAATTTAGAATTTAAGGCTCCCAAGGTGTTCCCTGTTGGTGCTGCAGAAATGGTGAGGGGCAAACCCATCTCCCATCTCCCTCCTTGATAATCTCTGAAAACACCCTTGTGATAGGAGGAGAAGAATCAAAGGCATCCTTGCAGCCCACCTAGGTTACAGTCCAGGGCTTTGGTGATAGGGTGGTGTCTTGGTTATGGTTTCTATTGCTATGAAGAGACACTATGAGCATGGCAACTCTTCTAAAGGGAACATTTAATTGGGGCTGGCTTACAGGTTCAGAGGTTTAGTCCATTATTTGTCATGGCAGGAAACATGGTGTCATGCAGGCAGACATGGTGCTGAAGAAGGAGCTGAGAGTTCTACATCTTAATCCAGAGGGAGCATAAGGAGAGTCACAGTAGGCCTAGCTTGAGCATATAAGATCTCAAAGCTGGTCTCCACAGTGACACACTTTCTCCAACAAGGCCACACTTACTACAACAAGTGGAGTGCCACTCCCAATAAGCCAAGCATTAAATATGACTCCATGGTGCCATTCCTATTCAAACCGCCACAGATGGGGACATCATTTTTCTGTAGTATTTAGCTTGGATGAAATGGTTATTGTATAAAACTTTTCATTCCTTCTAGGCTTATCCTCTAGGAAGTAGAGGCTAGTTGTACTAATCAAGTGCACATAGCCCCAGAGCCTAATTTCAAAGTTTAAGCCCCAATTTCTAGATGTTGCACTACTACATCCTTTTGTCTCGGGTTTGGTTTGGTTTGGTTTGGTTTCAGTACTTTTTGGAAATAAGGTCTCTCTATGTAGTCCTAGCTATCTTGGGTTCGCTGTGTAGTGTAGACCAGGCCGGCCTTGAACTCATAAATATCCTTCTTCCTCCGCCTCCTAAATGCTGTGATTAAATGCACGCACACCACACCCCTGGTTGGACCATTTCTTAATCAAACCATAGAGGACATTTTAGACCCAAACTGTAGCAATTAAACATTCCCTACTGTTAGGTGATCTTTAGTGTTTCAGATTATAAACAAGACTGGTATCTGAATGCTCAAATCAGTCTCCAATTTAGGTAAGTTTTGTTAACATCACCTTCTAGAGAAAGGATCGAGAGATTAAGCCTCTAAATCTCTCGGGAGAGTGTGGGAGGGGCACACAAAGTTAACAGTTGAACTTTGTATCTCCTTTCAGAACCATCAGGTGGTGAGGAAGGAGGAGACACAGAGCTGATGCAGCAGGACACAGCTTCAGTTCCTGAACCACCAAAGGAAACCAAACAGACCAAACAGGTAATGGTCACTGTGAGCATCACAGCTATTGGCTCAGAAGTCAGTCTATAGTCACGCTGTATAGTCACTGTGAGCATCACAGCTCTTGGCCTGGAAGTCAGTCGGTCTATAGCCACGCTGTATAGTCACTGTGAACATCACAGCTCTTGGCTCAGAAGTCAGTCTATAGTCACACTATATAGTCACTGTGAGCATCACAGCTCTTGGCCTGGAAGTCAGTCTATAACCACGTTGTATAGTCACTGTGAGCATCACAGCTATTGACTCTGAAGTTGGTCTATAGCCACGCTATATAGTCACTGTGAGCATCGCAGCTATTGGCCTGGAAGTCAGTCTATAATCACGTTGTATAGTCACTGTGAGCATCACAGCTATTGGCCTGGAAGTCGGTCTATAGTCACGTTGTATAGTCACTGTGAGCATCACAGCTATTGGCCTGGAAGTCGGTTGGTCTATAACCACGCTGTATAGTCCCATGAGCATCACAGCTATTATCTCGGAAGTCAGTCTATAACCACATTGTATAACCCTGTGAGAATCACATCTATTGGCTCAGAAGTCAGTCTATAACAACGCTGTACAGTTCTGTGAGCATCACAGCTGTTGGCTCGAAAGTCAGTCTATAACCACATTGTATAGTCACTGTGAGCATCACAGCTATTGACTCTGAAGTTGGTCTATAGCCACACTACAACATTTCTTGACTCTGGCATCAGCTGTTGCGGGATTTTACTTTCTTTGCCCATCAAAAGGCTATGTTCTCCTAACTGTAAACAAGGAGGCATGGTTTCCCAGATTTTTGTTTTTATATATTGTACTAGAAAAATGTATTGCATGGTCTGGAGAGATGCGTCTGTGGAATGAGCACTCCTGTCGCTGTCACTTCTCCGTGGGTGCCCATACGTAACATTCAATTGGGTGAGATCTCTGGTATGGCTTCAACTGTTGCTTACTTATATGGAAATGCTTGTAAAAGGCCTGTGACAGTATCCATACAAGAGGCTCTTTGAATCCTTCGCTGACAATAGGTATAGGTCATGTATAATCTATGCACCAGTCTTTTATGGGGAAGTTGACTTGTATGTGGGTCCTATCATGGCCTCCATCCACAAGACCAATCAAGAATAGGCCTCACAAGACAATACACAGGGTATCATGCCAGAGGCTTTAGCTATTCTCCATCTATGGTGATTTGAATAAGCTCATTTATTTGAAGAGAGAGCAAGAAAGCCAGCATGGGCCGAGACCAAGAGACCAGTGTACCTAAGACAGCAGAATTGTATAGATAGACAGACAGATAGAGAGAGATATATAGGGATCAAACTGGGGGAAGGGAAGTGAAGCCCAGCCCCTGGAAGGGAGAGGTTTAGGGGAGGGAGCAGAGTGAGGAATGCTGGGAGGAGCCCCAGGCTGCACTTTTCCCTTTGCCTTCTTTCTCCATCCCTACAGTTAAAATCCCCATACTTTAGGGTAGTCATGTCCTCCTCTTTTCATTTCATTTTTTTGTTCACTGACCCCATGGCTGTCTTCCTGCCTCAGCCTCCCGAGTGTTGAGATTATAGGCCTGGTCCAATGTGCACTCTAGGGGCTCTGCTAATTCCATCCAGGCACTGGCCTTGGAAGGGGAGCTCAATGCTTCCTTGTTCTGTAATTAGATGCTTATGACCATCTGGCTTCTCCTGTGACATATTAGCGGCCTTGGCCCAGGTTCTTATTGGCATGTACCAATATAAAATGGACATGAATCTAAATTCACAAGACAGCTTAACTTTCTAAGTAAGAAAGACAATATCTTTATTTTCTTAAACTGCAGGGCAATTGGTCTTCACAGGCTTTTTGTTGAAACTGTGAAGAAGCTAAGGATGAAAGATTCCCATGTTATTTTAATGTACTCTCCTGCCTGAAACAATATCTAAACACTGCTCCTGCTGGCCCAGTGTCTTAAAGAATTTATGGACCAATGTATCCCTCTTTGATTTGAGGCCATAGGCATTTCTAATCTGCAGGTTTTGTTGTTGTTTGAGACAGGGTCTCACTATGTAGCTCTGGCTGTCCTCAAACCCACTATATAAACCAGGCTGGTCTCAAACTCACAAAGATCCACCTGCCTCTGCCTCTCCTGCTGGAATTAAAGGTGTACACCACCATGCCTGGCCTTTAATCTGCTCACTTTCTTAAAAAGATTCATCTATGATCATTTTGAACAGCGTCATAGAGAAAAGGTGGCAGCCAGCGAGTGACTGGTTAAACAGACATCCTCTACTTGGACTCAGCACAGGAAACATTTTATTTAGTTGCTTATGATTAATATCTGTGGAACCTGCACATTCCATTTTATAAATCAAGGTTTTAGTCCAAATTTCCTGCTTTACTACCTTAAAGAACGAAACTCAACTTAAAAACAGTATGAAACTATATGGGGTCCTTGGGGTTCAAGGCCACTGGCAAATTAATCGCTCTTGGTGCTACAGTGTGGAGCCTGTTTTCAGTCCGTTAACAAGAACATTTATTCTGTGGTCATTTCTAAATGACTACATGGGTACAGCTGGTTGGCACAGCTGGTTTGTAAAAACGTAAGTAAATACATCCTACCTTGGATTTTCTCTGCTTGTTGAAAACGGGGAAGGAGTGGGTGCTATAAACAAGGCCGCTTGGAAGTGCGGCCCTCTGCACAGGCAACTCATGGAAAACTTCAGTTGCTCTGGTCATTGACCGCCTTGCCACATCCTCATTTTAAGCACATCTGTTTCTGCCAGCATCTTACAAACCAGCCCCTGGCTTCCATCTCTAATAATCTGCACACATCAAGCACATATATACACTCACTCACTCACACATTTTGATCGCTGTTCAAAGATCTTTCCAGTCTTACATCATCTGTGCTTTCTCAAATTCTGTCAGCTCAGCTCTGCATCACAGCTCCAGCGGGTCTTCCCGCATCGCTGTGGAATGTGACCAAGGTACTCAGAGGAGTTTGTGCACGACGGAAAAAGCTTCGGGACTCATAGCAGTCATTGACACTTCATCCTGCAAAGATGAAAGTTTTCTCATTTATATTTTATTACAGCCTACAGAATGTTTCTTGAGGAAACCAAAGGAAACAAAAGAGGAAGCCCGGAAGACCAGGAAATGGAAAAAGGTACCAGCAACAGTTTGTCACAGTGGTGTGGACACGTGACTTCCATGACATTTTTATATATCATACTTATGTGAAGTTATTTTGGCCCCCAACTAAGAGATCCAGAAATTGTAAGAGTCAGTGAGATCTGTTAACTTTCTTATGGTCTCCAGGAAGAAATTTTCTTTGGGGAACTAAAAGTAAACTTTTTTGACTCCCATTTCACTCCTGTGAGAGACCAACAGCTTTCTGGCCTGCTGGGTTTTCACTGTGGCATTATACACAGGTTCTAATCGAGAAGGACCCAGAGCTTCTCCTATACCTGCTTTTATCCAAGAAAATCCATTCCCCTTTTTCTATTCACTCCAGCTTCAAGCCTTTACACTAAGTAAAAACAAAATGAAAACAGGTAGAGAAAGGAACTCTCAGGTATTTCTACCTCTAATTGAGCCATAATTGAAGGCAGCTGCTCCCCCTCCTCTTAAATACTGTGTCTCTGTGCAGAGAAGGGCCATTGCTCCCATGCAGACATTTTACAGAGCAGCCCTACCGTGAGAGCATCTCCCACACTGTGAGAGCAGTGATGCAGTCCTCCGCAGCCAGCCAGAGTCTGCTGCTGAAGTCAGCGGAGGAGAGAAAAGAGGGTCAAACCCCCGCTGTTTAACAGCAAGCATTCAGAAAGAAGTGTGCAGACGTGTGTTTTTTTTCCTCACAAATGCCCAAATAGAAAGGCAGAACATACCAAATTGGCTGAGGTCTGGCACATCCTTAAAGAAATGCCTTAAGTGCACTTTGATAATTGAGTCACACAGAGAGCCTTGAGGAGCGGAGTATTAGGTTCCAGAGGTTCAAGGTCAGAACTCTTGCTAGTTTAGCTTGGCAGAGGTCATGCTAATATATGCCCACGGTGACAACATTAGGTTGATGCCTTTGATGCGACCTTGAGTAGTTCTGACACTGGGAGTGTGGGAGTCTGGGTCTTTGGAGACGCATTACAAAGAAATAAGGGAAGTTTATGACAAAAATGGACAATGGCGCTTCCATATATTACAACATTTAATAAAAGGAGTATAAATATGTATATTATGTAAATAGACATTTTTACAAAAGAGTCCACATCAAAAGAGAGAAAGTATCTTCTGTGACATCTGTTCTATTGTGTTTCATGAGTCTTGGGATCGCCTCCTAAATCAGGACAGTCAGTAACATCAAGTCCACTTTTAGTGAGCACCTGTGCGCAGCTCAGTCTGTAGAAATCCAGTCTGAGGCTCATCACCTAAAAGCCAGATTGTACAAGAAGTGCTCAAAATTCTGCTCTTTCAGGAGTCCAGGGTATTTAGGAGTAGAAGAGAAGTTTGCATAACAAGAAGACTTCTAGACTTTTAACAGAAAAATACCCTACTGCTGAGCTGAATGCAAAGTTTTCACTTCCAAAAGATACAGACCAGACATTACAAGGAGGCCTTTCGATCCTTTCTTCATGTTTCAAGCATTCACTATGCCTAAGAAGTATGCAATAAGGTTTCCCACTCAGCTGCCACCAAAAGATACGTGCCAGAGAAATGAACCTATGCCACATGCCATTATAAAATCTAATGCTCTACCTTTTTTTTTCTTCTCTTTTTTTAGAGGAAAATTTCTGATATTCTTGCAAAATCAGAGCCCAAACCAGGGACCCCTGGGGACCTTCAGAAGCTGATCAAGGACCATTACAGCGGCAGTCGGTCCGTAGTTGAGCTAGAAGAGCTCAGCCTACCAGGTGTGGCCTGTGTCAGTTGTCCTAAGGACAGGGAACACACAGTGTCATTTCTTCTCTACTGTTTTATAGGAATCTCCACTGGTGGGAATTTATACATTTTCCTTGCTCTTAATCCTCTTCCCTCCATGTAATACTTTTTAACTGTTAGTGATTTATTTGGGATTCTGAAAAAACGGTTTTTGCTGAATTGAATACTAAGGTTTGTGGATGTGCTTTATCTTTTACTGGAAAGATTAATTGTTCAGTATACAGTTTTAGCAGACTCTTCAAGGAATAAATGTCTCTAATGAAGATAGATATTAAACTCACATAAGGACACTTCAGACATTTAAAAGTCTTGGTGTGAAACTTTGTTGACCTTTCTTTATAAATAAGAACTGTAGCCTTAGGAAGCTTGTTAAGCTGGGCCCTGAATCCCAGAACTCAGGAACCTGAGGCAGACGGATCACAGCAAGTCTGAGTCCAGCTTGAGCTATAGAATAAACACCCTGTCTCCAAAAAATTAACAAGATTTTGTAGTAAGCATTTTAGTTGTATTGTTGTGGTGGTCATGATTTCAGTTTTGGAGTAGAGTAGTATTCAGATTGTACCCAAGACTCTTTGAAGCCAACTCACCAAACATAATAGAATTCTGCATTTCACAGAAGCCACCTTGGTCTAAGTTCCCATGCCTTGTTTAAAATTTCAAAGATCTGCAAAACTGCAGTCCCTGCTCTGAGCTCTTAGATTGTGTGCATCTGTAAGACTCCTGGGCAAGGATAGGAGAAAGCAGATGTTATCCTGAAAGCAAACCATAAGGCACTTTGGCACCACTGCCCCAGATAAGCTATTTCTAGGCTACTGAAAACAACTCATGCTACTTGGGGAAGAAGTCAACAGTAGCGGACTTTCCATTACAGCTCTGTGCGTCCCAGCAGCTTGAGAAGCTGGAGAGCAGCCTGTTCCCTGCATAGTTATAATTCTTCTGGACTATTTTTTTAAGTGCTCCTTGGGATTAGCAGCAGGAGTGCCCCTGTGTGTTCTTTTCCAAGACAATTGCCCTTGAGGGAACTGAAGGCTTACACTTAGATGCAAACAGTATCTGGAATCTCAAGTTTACTGAGCCCAGAGGGCTGCTGCTCAAGTGTGAGACTGTGTCCTGGCTGCTCCTCTGTCACAAATCCTCACTCAAGCTGAGGCTGGTGTCTAGTTTTTAGTGTGACTCAGTTTCCTCTTCTAGTTTTTCTTAACATGTAACTTGTGCCCTGGAAGGATTTGTGAAGAACATCCTGGTATTCTATGACCTCAGAGAACATCATAAACCTTGATTCTCTGCAGAATTGTTAAGAGCTAACGTTCATAAGAAACCCTTGGAATTCATCCAAGTTACATAATAAGTTTGTGTTATATTATTGTTTTATTAAAGCCCCATAACATAACTGTGTAAGATCCTGGACTCATGGATTTTTTTTTCTTTAGGAGGGAAAAAGTATGTTGGAAACAGCCAGAAGGGGTAGGCTTTAGTACCAGCTAATAGATGACTATTTTGAGACATAGTCAATTAAGGCATCATTAGAAGGTTTCATAGAAAAGACCCTAGTCACCACACCATGACCAAGAACAGCCTCCAGGGATAGTAACTGTGCTAGCTGAAGAGATAAAAGGTGCCATTTGTTATTAGGTATAGGTTAAAGAAGAAATGTAAATAATAGAGTATTGTTTCTAATCAGTTGGTCAAGCATCTGACTGGATTTTAATCTGAGGTCGTTTGTGTCTGAAGGGCAGGCACATGTCCTCTTAATTACCACTAATTGTGCTGTACACCGCTAACATCTTACACATGGGAACTTAATTAGGGATTTCCAGACCAAAGAACACTGGGAGTTGATTAGCCTCTGCTGTCTCTTGAGAGCTGGTTTGGTTTATATCAGTGATCCTACGTGCCTTTAGTCTAGCTGCAACCAACTCACCGAGGAGTCTCCTCAGAAGAAACACAAGTCACCCTCAGGGACTTAGCCAAGTAGAGTCCATTCTGTTATCACTGTTCATCTCATCTAGGAGAATTGTAAAGATCATCAGAGACTCCCTCCCTCTACTAGGCAACAACTTGGAAAGTGTTATGTAATATAAGCTTTATGTATTATTAAATTAAATCAAATTTAATTCAGTAGTAATTCACCCCCCAACATCCTTAATGTTTACATAGAAACTTTTTCCTATAGAAGGAATTGAGTTGATAACCATAATGTTACATAAGCTGTGACTGTCACTATCAACAATTGCCCTGCTCTATTCTGACGTGTCATGTTGTATTTTACAGCTAGGCTGAATTGTGGCATTTTGATACATTATTCCCATTCTTTCCAAATCTATGCTATATTTCCTTTCCTCATAAATATTTACTCTAGACAATTGCTACATCTTTTTATGCATGCACTTTATATGCCATTTGGGTATATATCTTTATTTTATCTAAATTACATTTGCAGAGCCTCTCATTCTGTTTCTTCACATCACACTACTTTCAGACATACCAGATGTAGCTTTGTGTACATCTAAGCCACTTCTCTGAGATGCTACATAGTGTTCCAGCCCTTTCATCTGTCACAAAGCACTCACCCCTTTTCCCAGTTGTGGACACCTGTAGGGCTTCCCATACCTCAAGATCATAAATTTTGCCAAAATTAATCTTTTTGTGTATCCATTTTACAACACACAGAAATTGCCATTATTTACCCAGAAAATAAATCAGAGAATCACAGAGTATATTATCTTAATATTAGTACTTTCCAAACAAGTTTATCCATTGTCCATTCTACCTTCATTTGGTAAATGTTACATCAGCCCACATTCTCCATAGCTCTTACTATCGTGTGTCTTCTAATCTTTGCCATCCTGCTGACTGCTCCCTCACTGCTGCATCAGTCCACTCTTCTAGGTAACTAATGGATTCGAGGTTTCTCATAAATTTCCCAGCCACTTCACCTTACCTTTTCCTCATTCATAGATTTCAAGTGTAAACGATGTGCAGAGCCTTTACTTCACTACTCTAGAGCGTTTAAAGTTCCTACCTCAGGGACGAGCCCAGGTTATCCAGTACAGAGTGCTCATCCCCATAAATATGCAAACAACAAAAATATACTCAACATGTTACATTTATAGATGTGTGTTTAGCAATAAAAATAGAAAAAGATGGTATCAATTTAAGAGTGGGGAGCATGGAAGGGCCTGGACAGAGGAAACATGGGGACGCTGGGGGAAGAAGGGAGTGGGAGAGGGGACAAGTGATATAAATGCATGGTAAAAATGCAAATCTAAAAATAAAATATTTTAAATGAAAAAATAGTCATTATTGCTACTGTTATTTTAAATAACACTAAATAATGAGCCTCCAAGTCACTCATGTTTTATAACTCATTCAAGAATTTATCATTCATATTAATCTGTTTTGATTGTGTACTTGCAAAGTTCTTAGCAAAGCATGTTTCTCATATTTCTAGACTCCTGTTTCCTTAAGGCCAATGATTTGACTCACAGTCTCTCTTCATATCTAAAAGAAAGTAAGTAAAATCTGATGTTTTAAAAATTATTTACCAGGTCATTATTCCACAAAAGATCAGGTTTGAAGTCAGGTTTATCAGTGCACCCATAATCCCAGAATGCTCAGGAGACTAAAGCAGGAAGAGCAACACTTAACAAGACTAGCCTGGGCTACTTTTTTAGTTTCCCTAAAACTAAAAAACTAGTTTCAAGGGAAACTAAAAAACCCAAATTTAATAAGTAAGGTTAGTCTCTCTAAATTAAGCATATACATTGCAATTTTATTTAATGTGGTATAATATATATATATTATATATGTATCACTACATTTAAAATTAAATGTTTCTAGCTTAAGTGGAGAGGTATTTATTGTTACATCTGTTTTTCGCAGTCATACTATATGGGCTCAATAATAAACTCATTATTCCCCTGCCTCAGCTACTCACATGCTGAGATTGTAGGCCATACTGATGCTTGTTAATTGATGTGTCATTTTAATATCTAAATGTATTTCCGTTTTGCTCTGGCTTTGGAAATTTGGGTGCAGACCCCATTTGGGTTTATAATATATTAGATGTATTAGTCTAGGACTCTGGAAAGTGATGTCCTAGTCCAGAGCCTCCAGTCTCCTTGAACTTGACCTTCTTACCTGAAAGATCAAGAAACTGAGCCATGTGATTTTTAATAGCTGGGAGAACTTCTGTTTACATGTTCAGAATTCAGACCTCACTATCACAGCCAATCTGATTTGATACTTTAGTCTGTATTGTGTATAACCAGAAAAAGCTAGATTATTCATAACAAAATAACATTTACTTGTTTCCAGCAATAATGTGACTTACATAGAACGATTTGACATTGTTCTTTCAGCTTTTGAGTGGTACAATGATACCAAATTTGTGCTTATTAAACATTTCTCAGAATTTAACTTTACAAATATAAACCTGGATTATAATGGGAATAATATTCTGGCATAAAAACTTTAAAATATTGAAATTCTAATCCTATTTAATGAGCATAATAATAAATAGTGAGTTTGAAGTATTATTTATGGTCAGTTCATTCTAGGTTATGCTGGCTGTCTCTTTAAAGTTTCTCTTCGACTGGGTGTGGTGACCCATGTCTCTAACCCCAGGCAGGTGATGTCTATGAGTCCCAGACCAGCTAGTGTTATGCAGTGAGATCCTGTCTTTAAACAAACAAAAGGCTAAACTAAAATCTAACAAGACTGAATCAGAGTTACCCTATTGATCAGCAGTGTCTTCAGGCATTAAACATAAAGTTTAATCTGCTGTCTGAACCACCAGAAAATGTAATAACAGTCAGTGCTTGTTTTTTTTCTTCTTAAGCACTTAGAAATAGATAATTGGAGAATATGCAGTGTTAGCAGCACTGTTTTGCTGTCTTTCAGTCTGTCCTAAGTGGGTAAAGCTTCGGAAAACGCACAGCGAGAAGAAGTCAGTCCTGATGCTGATCATCTGCAGCTCTGCTGTCCGAGCCCTGGAGCTCATCAGGTCAGTGTCGGCAGCTGGGGCTCCTGGGCGATTTCTCATAGATGCCAACCTGTGTATTCTGTGTGCCATGAGTAACACTGGGTCCCTGCCCTACGGGATGTATGCTCTGTTGGAAAAGCTGACAGTAAGCAAGTAGATATGTGTGACAAGATCCTAAAGAGTGATGTATTGTAGAAGGGAAAACAAGGCATGGGAATGAGAGGGACACAAACGGTGGCATTGGAGCAGAGACTCAAAGTGAAAGAGGGAGATCTCCTGTGTGCAGCAGTGAGTCCTGACGTAGGGTGCCATGAAAGGAATCGGGGAGGGGGGGTGCCGTGAGTCATTTACACCGCTGTGTGGAAAAACACATTGTGCAGGGCAAGAGTAAAAGCACCAAGACTACACTAGCGAAAAACAGCCAGCAAATGGGAGGGGTGATCTGACTCAAACTAGAAACAAGGAAAGGCAGAATACCAGGCAACAAACTTGCTAACCTATATAAAGAAAACATCCTGAGATGGCAAAGCTCTTAGATTAAATGGGTGCCATACTCTTGAGAAGGGAGACGCAGTGTTGTAAATATGCCTGTTTTTCTTAGGAGCAGCTACAAAATTTCACTGGTTTCCAAGTAAAACTCCAAGCAAATTTTTTAACTTTACAAACTAATTTTAAACTTTTACAAAATTATACAGCTAAAAATGGCCAAAAAGGTTTTTCAAGAGCACTGAGAAGAGGCGCTATCACTTTCAGAGTGCAATACATGTGTCGTAGTCTCAGCAGCTCAGAGCCTCTGGGACTGTCACGTGCAGGACAGGCAGAAGTGGGCAAGAACTGAAAGGGAAGAAGCAGACCCAAATGCATGTGAAAATGTAGGGTCCAGGAAAGGTGACAAAGGCAGAGGAAGCTAGATTGTTCAACAGTTGTATCCAACAACTGAGTAGCCATCTGTAACAATAAAGTTGGATTCATGTCTCACTCCTTCTGTGAAGATAAATTCCAAACAGACCAAAAATTTAAAAGAAAAAAAAAGATCTATATTAAAGATAAGTTGACACTTTATTAAGAGCTTTCATGGGCATTTCCATTCACTGCTTTTTTGTAGAATAAACAGAAAGAATCTTTCACTGGTTCTGTGTAACATTCAGAGAACAAAGAACAGACAGAATAGGGTGGCATTTACAGGGAAAAGCCCTGTCTGGGAACCAGGCTTTGACAGGAGACAAAACAAAGGAAGTCTGTCTTGAAACAGGAGCTTTGTCAAGTACCCTAAGGTGCAAGTGTATGGACTCCATGGCGATTTAACATCTGTTTTTCTAGATGAACTAATCTAATCGTGATTTTAGAAAAGTAGTTGTTAAACTTTACTGTCCCTTCAAATTCTGCTTTCTCCACCTCAGCACACACATTAAATCATGCCCCACACCCTCCAGGAAAGCAAAATGTTCCTTTCAACTATGCCTGCTCCTAACATAATTGATCTTCAGTACTCCTGTTTACCTGGGTATGTAGCAAAAGGAACGAGTGGACTGCGTCCCACCACCCTGCTCCCGACTAGCTTTACCCCCGAAATAATTACACGGAAACTGTATTCTTTTAAACACTGCCTGGCCCATTGTCTTCAGCCCCTTATTAGCTAACTCTCACATATTGATTCAACCCATTTCTAATAATCTGTATGTCACCACAAGGTCGTGGCTTACCGGGAAAGATCCTAACCTGCGTCTGTCTCAGTGAGGAGAGTCATGGTGACTAACTCACTTCCCTTCTTCCCAGCATTCTGTTCTGTCTTACCCGCCTACCTATGTTCTGACCTATCAGGCCAAGCAGTTTTCTTTATTAATTAACCAATGAAACAACAGGTAGATAGAAGACCCACCTATATCATGGGTATCCATCTGTACTTGTTGCCCTGAAATCAGAGCATTCACATCAACCTTTCTGAGTTTTAGACAGGACTACAAAACCCAGTGCAAGCTGAGATGCTAATGGCAAAGAATTTGGCCTACATGTGACCTCTCTAAAACAAGTTGTATATAAATTCCTTTCTAAGGGGCATAAAAGCACTGTGTTGTCACACTTCATTTACCAACTGTCCCCAGATATATTATGATCCATTTCAAGTTTAAAGTGTGATCTGAGCAGGCTCAAGGACCAATGTTTAATAATTCTATTGTAAGGACATCTGTTCTCTTGACAACCATAGTCCTGTTGTTTTCCTTGTTAACCCTGCAATGGAGAATGTCTATGTGTAATTAAGAACTCACTTGTAATAGAAATTAGATCACATGTTTCACTGTTTATCTTCCTCCTGTTCAACAGTATTTCTCAAACTATAATGACATAAAGGAAAGTAATATCCCATCTTAAGCATAACTCCAAAGCTTAACTCAAAACTTACTTGTTCATTATACCCACTTTAACTCAAAACAGAATTTTAGGTGATATACAGAAATACACCAAATGAGAAACAGATGGTTAAAAAGAAAACAATAAACATCAGAAAATCAGATGAAGCCAGCTGGAACTGGTGTTCATGATCTCTTCCATAAAGCCTTGTTAAGTTATAGAGATGGACCCAACTTCCGTGGACAGGATGTGTTTGGAAATGTCAGTCACAGACACATGGCATTCTGTGAGTTCAAATAAAATAATGCACAGAGGGTGTAACCTGGCTCTTCATAGAGCAACTGTAGAATGTGAGGGCCTCCTGTCAGAATGGTGCTTCTAAAGCCTTTCCTCTGAGGTACCAAGCAGGGTAGCCTTGACTCAGAACTGATCATCTCAGTTAATGTAAACAGATCCAAACTGTTGAGTACCTAGAACTGAAAGAACTACCTCACCTATGTACCAGGTGTCATAGTCACTAAATAGATCCAAACTGTTGAGTACCTAAAACTGAGTGTGCTACCTCAGTGTGTACCAGATGTCAGCGACTCAAGGATGAGTCTACCCAGTAGCATTTTGGCCCTAGAAAACTTAAATGAAACTGAGCAGTTTGCTGCATGCTTGTAATCCCAGCATTTGGGAATGCAGCAATGGGAGGATTGTAAATTTGAGGACAGCCTGTGTGACAAGTTCAAGGACAGTATCAGGTATATGGCAAAACTCTATTTAGTATGAAAGGTAGATAGGGAGGAAAGGAAGGAGGAGGGAGGGAGGGAGGGAGGGAGGGAGAGAGAGAGAGAGAGAGAGAGAGAGATTGATTCAATACATTGCACATATAAAAACCTAGATGCTTGACTTCACCAGAAATAAAGACTTAACACTGGCTTTGTAATCTCTCATCTTAGTAATTGCATAAATACCGACCTTTTCAGGGACGTGTGGTCTCTAGTTCCCCTCAGTCCCCACAGCTGCCACCTGTGCCACTCGTTTCACTCACACGCTCAGGGATCAAGATCTACAATCCGGTGTTCCTTTTCCTTCCTGCCTTCTCCCCTCCCTTCCTTCTCTTCTTTAGGCTGGAACATTTTCATGTATGAAATTTTACAGAGAAGTTCAGTCTACAAAATAGAAAAGTTGGGGGGTTGTTCTGACCTCCTCCCTGGTGCACTCATCCTGTGGTTCTCTGTCTGGACATCCCAACACACTTTCAGATGCCTGGGCTTTCCTGATCACAGGCTGACTTCACTGCTCCGAGATGTCCCCTTATAATCAGTTTTGTTGTTTTTGTTTGTTTGGGGGGTGGTTGAGACATAATATGCAGAACTGCATGAAAAATTTTCTGCCAGACACCTGAAACACAGAAATTCTGTTTAGAGAATTACAGAGATATGCATTTGAATAATCATAGAAACCAAAGTGTCTGGCCTTGTGGTTGACTCAGAAGGACACCCAGATATGTACCTGAGCAAAAGGCTTTCCCCATTTCTGATTTTTTTTTCTTTTTTGAGATAGTATCTTGTTCTATTACCTAGAACTGGTCTTGAACTCACCACAATCCTCCTGCCTCAGCCTCTTGAGTGATTTCACACACACCACTGTGCCTGAAAGCCTACTCCAGTTTGACTGCAGAGATGGACTTGCCTAATGATCTTCCTGTGCGTAGATATAAACGTAACTGCACACATTTAGAACAGTCTTTTGAATGATAAACTATAATTTCTAAATAGTGAGTTCTTAAATGAGTAAATTGTCATAATCTAGTCAATACATTAGTTAATTAATATATTCCTTTTCATTAGGTCACTGACAGCATTCAAAGGAGATGCCAAAGTTATGAAATTATTTGCAAAACACATAAAGGTAAGCAAGAGCCTGTAGTTCTGCTAAGAGATGCAAGTGGTCCCTAACAGCATCGCAAGTCCTCAGCATTCCCATTCAGCCTCTCTAATCTCCCTAGAAATTGCTTCCTTTTGATCTGCCCTCGATATGTATGACAGATTTAGCAACTGTGGTGACTTTCTCTGCACTCCATGCCTCTCCACGGCCACCTTGGCCCCCTGCAGTCACTGCCTTGCTCCTACTCTTGAATAGAAGCTCAGGTCTGAGTCCCAGTTCCTTGGACATTTACCAATTTTATAAAAAAAAAAATCTTCTTTGTCCTAGAATTAGTTTCAGGGCAAGAGTGGTCCTATTTGCTTTTTTATTTTCTTTAGAGATGCAGTGCTCTCAAGTGGCCTGTGGTTGCACTCTGTTAGTGATTCTGCCTTCTCTTTCTCCTCTTCCGTCTTGGAAAGGTCCAGGAGCAAGTGAACTTGCTGGAGAAGCGTGTGATACACCTGGGTGTGGGGACTCCAGGGAGAATCAAACAGCTTGTTAAACAAGGTATGAAGTGAGGATGGTGAGAATTCTGTCAATAGCTACCCCTTTCCCTTGCCCCTGTGTAAGTCTAGGGAAGCACATTTGGGGTGCTTTTTTACAAAAAGAAAAACAGTCCTTGCTTACCTTTATGATCACCCAGTGGGAAATCAACTCCGCCTTTGATTTCAGAAGCCAGCCGGTTTGAACAGTGCTGTGGGTAATGACAAGGACTGTGGCCCACTGAAATTCATTTGCCCCACTAAACACATTCAAATTCCAGTGGCTCTGAGCATCAGAGTGGATCCACACAGGCTCTACTACCCATTAGCAGTCCTTGGACTTGGTAGAGGATGCTATACTGAATACTCCCTTCTCAGGAGACTGAGGCTTGGCACTCAAAGAGTTCCACTCTAGTTAGGATGGGATAAATGTACTGAAATGGGAATACCGTTTCTATAAATGGTACGGACATAGATATTCCTGAATATTCATCCCAAATACTTTTCCCTTTTAGTGCTTTGTACAGGAAGTTTTCCAGGATTCCTGGTAGGTTTTAATAGTTTGCAAACTTCCTCAAGCCAAAAACCTAAAAACCTTCTGGTAAACCTATTACCTGTTCTTAACTAGACCTTTAGGTTTGTGAGGTGGTGTGTTTTTACGGTGCTGGAAATTGAATCTAGCAACATACGCATGCTAGGCAAATGCTCTACCACTGAACTGTATCACCAGTTCTCTTTTTACTTTTACTTGGAGAGGAAGTCTCACTAAGCTGCCTAGGCCGGCCTTGATCTTGGGGTCTTTCTTAACCTCCAGAGCAGCTGAAATCCCAGACCTGAGCTGGGAGGCTAGTTCAGATTTATTGATTTCATTCTTCATTTTCAAATTGCTTAATATAGTAATGTGACTTTGTCTTCTGGATCTATTCCTGAATTATTTTGTATATGTCAGATTAACACCTTCAGCAATATTGTAACTCAGGAAGGATCATCTAAAATGCTTGACATTCCTCGCCAGGTAACAATACCTACAGCTAATTAAGCCCACTGGCTGCAGAGTTCTGTGCAAATGGCATAGAATTAAGACACCGAAGGTCCCTGATAGAGACAGGAGACAAACATTTTTTGAATTTCTTGTAATTGGTATTGTGCTGGACATCCTTGTATGTGCTTTCTAACTGGTACCCACAGCATCCTTACTGGCTAGGACTTTTGTGAGAGAAAGCATAGCTTCAGAAGAGATGGGTGACTCACCCCCCACCCCCACCCCCCGTGGTGTCAGACCAGGCCTCCTTAGTTCCAGAGCCTTCCCCCTCCCTCAGGGGTTCCTTGATACTGGGGTGTTCATCTTGTAGACATGGAAAGGCATTGAAATTAGAAAGCAGGTGTTAGGTACCGAATCCTTCTAAGAAAGACAGATTTGAGGCAATTGTATGGGCGTCGGGCGTTGGGAGAGGCCAGGGAGAGATTTTCAAGTTGGTCCTCGCCGCCCCCACAGCTCTCATCTCAGGGTTCAGCTTGCCCCCTCTGGGACCCATGACTTTTCTGTTACCCGATCCCTACCACCTACAAACAGGGCTCTTTGAGGTTTAAAGTAGAAACAGCTAGGCATGGAGGGAGGCAGACAGAAAGAAGCTGTCCAAACTGTTGATTAGATTTCTACAGAGTTGGGGAAACTCTATATGACGGCCTGTTTCATATGGAAAAATAATGTTGGACTGTTGATGTTTTATGTGATATTAATGAAAACTTTTACTTCTAAATCCAATTGGATGGATAGTTAGAATATATTAGCCATGGTGTTATATTGCATGGAAGGTGTTTATGGAAATAGCCCAGCACCCTGGGAGCTGAGGTTCTGCCAGAACTAGGGCGGTGCCACATAAGTCACTATCTTAACACAGTGTGGATCCGTCCACTCTCTGAGGAGAGTTTCCAGACATGAACGCGGTGCCATAGCACTGGGATCTATGGAACCATATCCAGAGATGTGTTGTTTCCATTTAGCAACTAAGGAAATGTTCTGACTCTAGGCCTGTGAGGAAAGCAGAAGGCACAGGGGAGCAGGTGAGGTGACTAAGCAGTTAACGGTGCTCACCGCCTAGCCTGAGGTCTTGAGTTTGATTCCTGGACACACACGGTGGAATGGAGGGCCAGGAGGGCCGGCACCTCTAAGTTGTCCCCCGACCTCCTTTCTCTCACTTTGGCACACAGGCCTACGCCGATACACACGTGCATGTGCTAAATAAATGTAATTTTTTTAGGATTTTTTTTTGTAGTTTTTTTTTTTTTTTGTAGTTTTTTGAGACAGGGTTTCTCTGTAGCTTTGGAGCCTGTCCTGGAACTAGCTTTTGTAGTAGACCAGGCTGGTCTTGAACTCACAGAGATTCGCCTGCCTCTGCCTCCCAAGTGTTGGGATTAAAAGCATGAGCCAATACTGCCTGGCAGAGATATTTTCTAGTTAATTGTGAGTATACCGCCTTCCAGTTTTTTTATACAACAAGTATATGTTTTTATGAAGCAGAGATTATATAACATTCCACATGTTTATAATGTATTTGTTTAATATGTATATATATATAATATATATCTCATTTATAATACATACATTTGTACCTTTAGAGGATTTTCCTTCTTAGGAAATCGATTTACTTCTCGTTTGAAATATATATGTATTACACTGTCTGTCTGCAATACTTCTAGTGTAGGATACTTGGATTTTATCCAGTTTTTTAAAATTATATATAAAACAGTGATCATCATTGGAAGTAGTGTTAAGCTTCTGGAAGTTTTTTAACTGGGACATCACAGAAAGAAAGCTCTTTTGTCAGTGCATGTTTGAAAGCTCTGGGTAAAGGTGGTTCCATTCAAGAAGAGGTTTCTCTGCTTGCATTCTGCAGCGCTGAGTCTGTTTTCAAGTCTCTTTTTCCCCTGTTTCCTATGATACTTCCAGTGAGAGTGTTGCAACTACAAGGTAGTGTAAGAGGCATGGAAAGTATCTGGGGCAGAGGGAAGACTGAGCAGGGACAGGCTGCGGGGGAGTAGCTGCATGGGGAGGAAGCTTCGAGTACTGTTTGCAAGCATGGCGGGCAAGACCTTGGAACTACTGCAAGAGCTGGGTTTGCACCCACCTTTTAGGACCTGAGGACCAAACAATCCTGGGCCTCCTCCTCCAGTCTTCATATGCGGTAATTCTAGGTAAACCGAGTAACAGAGTGGGTGCGATCCTTACGTGATTCGCCAGTCTCATCACCTGGTAGCCCCATCAGCATCCTTCCCCGCACCTCTCAGAATCAGGCAGACTCCGGTGCTCTCAACCCTTCTGAAGGCCAGAGTCTCCTGTTTACAGGAAACGGCTTCTCAAATCCCTGTCAGGAAAGAGACCCCAGCCTCTGGCCTTCACAGACAGAGGGCGGAGCACCTGAGTGTTGACAGGCTTCCCCAGTGTCGCTCCTCTGTCCTCAGAAGCAGTGAGAAAGCTGCATGTGTCAGAGTGTGGCATGTGTTTCCCATCAAGCAAGCGTCAGTGTGCAGAGGTTCATTGCTGGAGGGGGGAGGAGGCTCGCAAGTGAGGCAACCAGGAGGATGAAAACCATTTTAATAGGCTTACGTCGTGAGGTCTTTACTACCACGATTCTTGCTGTGTCTTTCAGATGGCCTTAATTTGAACCCCTTAAAGTTTCTGGTTTTTGACTGGAACTGGAGAGATCAGAAGCTAAGGAGAATGATGGACATTCCCGAGGTAATGTGTAATCAGCTGTTGTCTTTAATCTTTTTTTTTCCCAATTTGAACTTGAGTTCAAACACAATAATAAAGTCTTTGACTTGAGGAGCCAGCACATTCTAGCTTTGGAAATAATTTCTGTCTTTAACGCTGAGGTAACTATTATAGAGCCATCTCATCCGCTTAGACATAACTGTATCCTTTCCATGTGTAATACACAGTCTGCTTGCTTGCCCACTAAATGACCATGGCCCCTGCCCCACTAGGACATCTGTACTTCAGAGAAGCTAGACGACCTGGAGGATTTGCCCTTTTCCTGTGCCTCTCGTCACAGACACACTCCTCTCTGCCACTTATTCTTACATAGACGGGAGGAGGGGCTGCCTCGTGGCTGGCTTCTTCACATCCCCACAAAACCTACTTATATAATTTACAAAGATGTTTTCGTTTTGTGTGGAGGGTTTCTGCGTCTCAGTGGATCCAAACTGAACGACTGAATGCCTTTGTGGGCACCGCACACACAGCTCACTGTATATTTATGAAAAATAGTTCATTGCCTTCATAATGTAGAAATTTCATTTTACCACCCACCATGTTATCATGAAACAATTTTTCAATCTAATCTGATATTGTGGAGAGGAGATCATATAATAATAAATAAGGCTGTCAGTCACCTACCAGGACTAAATCATGCCAGTAACTGAATCTTGGGGTTAATTTGCCACATAAAACTACTTCCCCAAACTGAACCGAGTTCATTATAATTGACTGACGAGTTGTATTAGGCATCAATTCAAGTTAAAATCCATTGAGATGCACACACATATAATAGTGGGGTGCACTCTGCCTCCGTGAAGAAACTTTTTTTAACTAGTTGTCAGCCATGAGGCCAGATTTGATGGTTTGTGATGTGGTGTTAAATCTGAGGAATCTACCGTACCGGGGCAGGGACTTGTCATCATAGGTAGTTTTATTACGTTCATGCCATTAACAATTATCACAAGGCAGTCAATCCTTTATTGGATCCTTGCGTGAAAATCTGGGTTACCTAAAGCACTTTGGAGTCTCTGAACATTTCTGTGGCATTTTCTTTTGGATGGATGCGAACATAAAGGCTTATGATGAAAATTTTAATGAAACTGATGTTTTACATAGTCCTCTTCCTTTACTTGTGTGACTCTCAACTCTGGATCAAACATGGCAGAACTTTCCCTCTCTGATCCTGGCCGTAGCAGCTGTACGAACACCTTGGAACCCCAGATGTGGACTTGGTGGTTCACTCTGATCCTGGCCGTAGCAGCTGTATGAACACCTGGCATCCCAGTTGTGGACTTCACTCTTTCTCATTCTGGCCGTAGCAGCTGTATGAACACCTGGGACCCTAGGCATGGACTTTGCTCACCAGGACTACTTTTGTGTGATGCTAACATTTCTATTGTTTTTTTTTTCTCTCATTTAGATAAAAAAGGAAGTGTTTGAACTTCTAGAAGTGGGAGTGTTGGACCTCTGCAAGTCAGAGTCCTTGAAGCTGGGCCTCTTCTAACCCTGGTCCTGCTGAAGTGTCCAGTTGCCAGCAGGCTGCACGTACTCAGTCGCTAGCTACAGTGATGGAGCTGTGTTAGTCCTGCTCACTGCAAACGCTTCATGGGGACTTTCGGACACCTGTGCTATGAACCTCTCCTTTGGCTTATGCCCTCATACAATAAAGAAGCTCTGCCTTGCATATGCTGTTTTTGTTGAGCAGACTGAGTTTTTCTTCCTCCTCTGCTTTGACTGTGTGTGGGACAGGAAGCAGCAGCTGAGAACCTGAGCCTGAACTCTGAGCATCAGTCTTTGAGGCTGCAAAATGGGTACGCCACCTCACACAACTTGTAGAGAGACTGCGGTAAACTAAAGCATGGTGTCTGGGGCTATAACTCAGAAGTAGACTTCCCACAAGTGATTAGGGGTTCTGGAAACCAAAATCCATCATCCCCTACCCCCATCCCAGAGAGGGCTTAGGGTTTTAAATATACTTTTAGTGGCCTGGGATGAAGCGCCCTTCCCTCATTTCTGATTGGTCAGATCAGAGAGAGAAAGTGAGCTACTGGACTCAGAACACTTGTCAGACAGGTCAGCTAGAAGGGATCCCGTCATGGGAAGATAGGTGCTTGCTTGGTCTTTTTCATAGCTCGAAAGGAAGCTGGATGTACAGCATCTTGTTATTTGTGGTCTCGTCATAGCTCTCTGCCTGCCAGGTGCCCCTGCCTCCTACATTCCCTCTCTGTGAAGCATGGCCTCTGCACGCAGTGTGGCCCACAAAGCTAGCAAGAGCAAGTATACCTATACAGACAGATGATAAATACAGCAGTCTTATCCATTTACATGTTTTGATTTTAATTTGAAATAATTTCCAGTATGCACAATTTTTGCAAAAATAATGTAGATAATTCACATGTCTCCTTCCCCAGGTTCTCCCAATGTTACCATCTAATAATATACCCAATGCACAGGTACCAAAACTGACAAAGCAACCTCAGCACGGTGCAGTTAAACTGGAAATGTTATTGTGATGTCACAAGTCTTTCCTCTGATGACCCCTGGAGGATCCTGCTGTGCTTGTTCCTCCTCATATTGACAGCCATCACTCTCCGCTTCTCTCATGACCCCACTGGATGAGTGCTCACCATTGTTTGTGAGCTTTCCTAAATTCCGATTTTCTCTATTATGACGTGCAGTCTTGTGGCTTTTGGTCAGAACCACAGTGGTAGTGTGTCCATCTCTCTGTCGGATCAGGGAATGCATAGTCACTGTGTTTTAGTTCCCGTGACATCAGCCTTGAACACCTGGTGAAGGTGCCATCTGCCACTTTCCTCCATGGCAGAAAGATGTATCATTTTTCCTTTGTAGTCCATATCTGTCTTGGAAGAGATGCTTTAAAGATCTGTAAGTGCTTTTGTCTTCAAGGCACCCAGTAATTTTTAGCAGCCAAAGATCATGAATGCAGTATCTTCTCTATTTCTTCTTTTGATCTTCATTGGAATCCCTGTGAAAAAGAGCTTTTCTTTTTCTTAGTTTCTTTGTTCAGTTATTTTTTTACACCAATGAGGACACATGAATATTTTATTCTATAGGTTTTAATCCATTACTATTTTATTTTATTGATCCTTTTTTGTTTGTTTTGTTTTGTTTCAAGACAGGATTTCCCTGCATAGTTCTGACTGCCCTGGAACTTGCTCTGTGGACCATGCTAGCCCAAACTCAGAGATCACCTACTTTTACCTCCTTAGTGCTATGTTCAAAGGTGTGTGCCACCATACTTGGCCACTGATTGAATTCCATTTTGTTGGAGGCTGGAGAGATGACTCAGGAGTTAGGAGCACTGGGTTTTCTTCCAGAGGACCCAGGTTCAATTCCCACCATCCATAAGGCAGCTCACAACTGTCTGTCACTCCAGTTTCAGGAGGCCTGACACCTCCACACTAATGTACATAAAATAAAGCTCAATTTTAAGAAAAAATTCTATTTTGTTACTCATATAATTATGTGCTCTTTTCCAAGCACAGTGTGTACAAATCAATATATAGTCTGCTTCATCATTGAAACAATCCTAAAAGTATTATCCACATTTTAATTTATCGTTTGTTGGTTTATTTTGAGACAAACTCTCATTGCGTATCACTTGGCTGTCCTGGCATTCACCATGTAGACCAGGCTAACTTAAAATCTCACATAGATCTGCCAGCCTCTACTTTGCAAGTGCTGGAATTGACACAAGCACCACTATGTCCAGTTCTTGTTCATATTTTATAGACAATAAAACTGAGTCCCACAAAGAACATGCTCGGTTCAAATAATAGAAATGGAAGTCAGGCCCAGGACTCAGAGTTCATTCAGGAAATCAAGCTGTCTTTTTGGAAACTCAAGCTTACAGCAAACAGATGATAAAGGAAAATGGATGCCGTTGCAGTTAAATTTCACATTGAAGTTATTCTAGCTCCCTGGGTGGCAAATCAACAGTCCAGCAAAGCACACACTCCTGCACTCTAGTGAGCATGCCTGGGCACCTCCTCAAGCTGATAGTTGCCACACAAGCATTCAGAGAAGACAAGGGTGCATTCCATCTTCAAAGATCCTGATCGGAGCTCAACTAAGGAAAAAGAAAGGAAAGCCACTCTGGCCATGAAATTCTGTTCAAACTATTTGAAATTATGTTATGCCAAACCAAACCCTGTTGCTTTTATCCTTTTAACCCTAGCAAGTGAGATTTCCCTATGCAATGATAAATAAAATGGATCACATAGCTTCCTAATCCAGGCGTGTTACTGTTTGTCAAGTGACATCTTAGATAATCTAGAAAAACACATACCACGCATAATTTCCTATAAATCCATTGCAGTCTAAGTCTGTCAAAATTCAGAAAAATCCACCAAGTTGTCCTTAAAACTGAGACTATTGGGAATGTTTGAAGTGTCTACCCCGTACACATAACCATGTCCTGACTCTACACACATTTACTATATTTGCATCCCTGCAGGTAATAGGAAAAGACAATTAGATGCAAGGCAGTCCTAATTTGTAAATGTGTGATATTGCCTAGAAGGTATTGTGAACTGTGGTCCTACGAACATCAGCCACCATCACCGTCTTACCCAGAACAACTGTTACGACTGACATTCCTGCATAGAACAGAAATTTGGGAGTCATTAGACCTTCAGCTAAGATTCCAGCTGCTTCTTTCTGCCGCCTACTCCCATCCACATGTAATTTTGCCCCAACTGCATGTGGTTTTAAGAGTTACTTAAACATAGCCAGTAGACTATTTAATGAAGAGTAGACTCCACCTATACAGTGTTGACAGAGTTACCTTCCATGCTGGGATGAGATTAAAGCAATGTAGCTGTTGGGGGGGTCAGTACCCCCATCTTTCTGCAATCACATGCAATAAGATCATTGATTGAATGAGGTACACTGCATTACTTTGGTCTGTCGTTGGTTCCGTCTCCAGTGAGTAGACATGTGTTCGCATCTCCTAAAAAGTGTATGTATATACCAGAAGATTACATCATGGTTAAAGAAAAAGACAAGGTTTAAGAAAATCCCTCTCCAAGCTCTCTAATGAGACTACCACACAACGAGCTACTGGCAAATAGGTGTCAGTTCAGAATGGTACTTAGGCAATTTTCCTCACTTGCTTATATTTTTTCCTATAAGACAGGGTCTCACTAGCCTTGACTGGATTGGAACTCCTATGCTGGCCAGGTTGGACTCAAACTCGAAGATCCTCATGCCTCTGCGTCTCAAGTGTTGGGCTAAAAGTATATGCCACTACTGCTCAACCTCAGAATACATTTGCAATTCCTAAAATTATTTTTAGCTGCATGCTGGAGTAGGAGGCTACTATTGGCATCCAGTGGGAGGTGTGACTGACACTTAGTTGGTATAAGTCAGGGGTGCAGCTAAATATTCTGTGCCACACAACAGCTATCCAATTGTCAAAAGTGTAGTTGAGGGAACTTGATTATTAAAAAGCAAAGCAAATGAAATGTACTTCCAAGTGTAAATTGTATTATTTAGAACTCGGTTTAAGTTAAGGCCCACTCCATGAGATGGAATCGATATTCAAAACTGCTAAACTAACTGATCAAGAGCCTGAGGTCGGTCATGGGCCCTAGGAAAAACCTACAACTCTTATTCTGCTAAAGGGGCAGCAATAAAAATCACTCCTAATAACATAATGCCCATTGATCAGTGCCTCTTTCTCAACCCTCATCAGAGAAGATTCTTCTTGCAGTGGATGATTTAAAAAAAAAAAAAAAAAAAAAAAAAAAAAACACCGCTCCACCGCTGGTCAATTGTCAGAGTTAGAGACTTTGGCGCACTCAGTCCTAAGTGAGATGTCATCATCAAACCCCTATCCTCAAGGCTCAGGGATCTATTTATGTGGTAGGAGAGACAGAAAGATTGTTAGAGCCAGAGGTGATAGATGACTCCAAGGAAGTAGCATCTTCTCAACACAACGGGAGTGAAACGTGAATTCACAGAGCCTGTGAATGTGACAACAGGCATGAAACCAGAGTCATGTTCAAACCACACATGATCCCAGCACTGAGAAGTGGACTGAACACAAAATCCCACCCCCCAGTCAAGAAGCTATTAGCAATTGCTACCTGCTGGAAAAGGAAAATCCTTTTTCTCCCATGGAATGGCCTGGGTGTACCAGCCAAACTCCACGACAGACCCCACACTAGGAATAGTTGGCCAATAGAAAACAGAATCTAAAGTTTGGGAGATTTGTTTTGCTTTGTTATTATTTTGTGGGCTTTTTCTTTTCATTTTGTTTTGCTTGGGTTATTTGCCTTACTAGTTTTTTGTGGGGTTTTTTTGTTTGTTTTCGACAGGGAATATGAGGTTGAATAGTGGTGGGGAGGAATTGGGAAGGAAAGAGTGTGATCAAAATATATTGTGAGAAAATTTTAATAAAAACTAAAAGATCAAAGGTTTAGAGAAAGGAGTAAATATAAAAAGATGGCTATATAATGCACATCTGGTTATCTCTCTTAAGAACGCTGCCCCAGAAATACTTGCTCTTACTATGGTTATAGAATTTAATATGTCTACTTGGTGGAACCACATGGTGCCAGAGAGTTGGTGAGGCATTATTCTGGGAGGTTGGCTATGATAACAGTAACATTTAAATCATTTGACTTAATTAAATCAGTGATTTTGCCCTGCTTTTCAGATCCAGAGGATCATGGTCTTTGTGCTGACACAGCAAATGTACTAGAACAGGTAAGACAGGTTAATGAAGATTTCAACTCTTCTCTAATCCTTGTATCGTGAGTGAAATTCATCCCTTCCATTCAAGACCAGAACTGAATACTGAGTCCCCCCACCCACAAGTAACAGAATTCTAACTGAAAAACTGGCTCTTGCTAAGGTTACGCCAGTCTGTTGGTCTTCAGGACTCAACTGGACACTAACCGGACTCTGCAGATTTGGGACTGAGCCTCTATTATTGTGTAAGACAATTCTTTATAATACATATTTATATGTTTATGGATTTGATTTTTCTGGACAGGCATGTTTTAACACACTGCCTGTGAAGCTTCTTTAAGTCTGTCATCTTGTTTTATAAGAAAGCTAATAATAATAACAGAAATAATCCTTTTATTGACCTTTCTTGTTTCAATATTGGAGTAGGACCTTAAGTCACAAACATGCCTGATGTCTTGTGGGACAGTTTTATACATACAAATCTAACCTTGTACTCTGTGGCTGTCCTTTAAACACAAACCCTTAGCCATGTTCATTTAGCAATACAACGAGTAGATGCTAACTTTGTTACATCGCACGCACACTGTCTGGAGGGTGACAGCAGCCGTCCGTCTAGCTGCCACTCAGGGCAGAGTCAAGTGGCATGCTGAAAACTTCCCGTGCATAATTTTCTCTTTGTTTGTTTGTTTTGCAAGTATAAAGATTGATTCTGAATTGGAAACTTCCTACTGTATATATTTGCATTTATTTGATATACTTTTAAATCAGGTTCATTTGTCATTGCCTTCATTGACACATCATGGCTTCTCTGCCTACTTTACAAAATTCGAAGTCTGTGTCTTCTCTGGCAGTTTGTTAAAGGAATAATTATAAATTGTTAATGACCAAGGTAGAAAACCCTCAAACCAGAGCTAATACTGTATTGCAAGGCTGAATATTTGATAATGTTTCACTCACCTCTAAGGAGTCGACTTGAGAGAGGCTAAAGGGAGACTTTTTCTTTCAAGATTTTTATTTTATATGTATGAATATTTTGCCTGAATCATGTGCACAAGTACTTTGTCTGTGCTTGAGTTATGAGTATTTTGTCTACCATGGGCATGCAGTACCCGAGGAGACCAGAAGAGGGCATTGGATCCCCTGGGTCTGGAATTAAAGACACTTGGGAACAACCATATGGGTGCTTGGAATCAAGCCTGGGTCCTCAGGAAGAGCAACCAGTTTAACCACTGAGCCATCACTCCAGCCCCAGAAGGATATGTAATCTACATTGCCTGGGTCTTTCTTACTTATGAAAAGCAGAAAGAAAGCAACTGAAGTTAAATACATGCACATATATCCTGCAAATTCCTGTCTGCTTCTCCTTTCTGTATCATCACAGCATAGCAAAACTAGCTGTGACCTCAGACTATTTTTCCAACTTAGTTCATATTCGTGTTAGCCTTATTTGGGGGAAAGCTGATAGGCCTGGCTTCAGTTGGTATCAATCACCAAAGATTTACACAACAGACCTCAGAAACAGCCCACAACAACTGCTTCTGAGCATGAGTAGTTGGTTTTTACAGACGTTAAGGAGAACTCTCTTGTGCATGGCACTTAACAGGCTTTCTGATTTGAAATAAAGTGCGCCCAGCAGGGACTGGCGAGAGCTGTGCACTGCAGGTAGCGGGGCTGCTTAGAGAACAAGACAGGAAATAAACATGACGTCACAACTTCATGTCATTCTTCACGTAGCATTAGCATTATGTGATATTACTACAAGTATGACTGTTCTAAATGTCCCAATAGAATGTCAGTTGCCTACAGTACCAAAATGGAACCGATGCCCCAGTATGACCTGTCCAGACTGCCAGAAAACACAGCCCTGAAGCAGCAGACGTTGCCTGCCCACCATCTAGAATTTTCTGCCTCGGTGGTCCTCTCTATCTTTTTTGCCACAGGAGGGTTCTGCCTCTGTATGGGCATCATCCTTCTACTGTCTGCAAAGAGCACCAAGAAAATTGAGGTTTGTTATGTCTCACATGTTTAATTTCCAAAGCTTTTCAGTTTGGGATTATAAATGGGAGCAGTCACTTTGAGAACACAGCCCCTTAATGGGAAGCGAGATATGACCAGACCCACCCAACTTTGGGCTGGCAGGGATGTAGATGGGGAAAGAGCCCTTAGCGTTGACTTCATTCATTCTCACTGTCACACTGGTCACCTCCAGCCACATTTCTGTACAAGATCCCACCCAAGTCAGGTGATCTTAGAGAAGTGAGCAAGCAAGAAACAGAGGTAGAAGGAGAGAGGCGAGTTCAAAAGCCTGCCAGACCCCAATAATCCATTTATGTTAATGAGCCCAGAACCAAAAATTGAGATCTTGGGTTTTTTAAAAAGCATGTGAACTTTTAAATGTTATTCTTGTATAATTAATATGCCATGGTTGCAGTAGTTTACTGTGCACAGTGAGTTGTTGTAGCGTATGTTTACAACGATATACTGGGCAAATCAAGGGAATCACGATTTTCCTCTCCTTTCTTTATGATTAGATTCTAGCTACTTTCTTCTAGATCTCTCTGGAATCTCTAGGAAGCTGAGCCGTAGATATACTGCTGCACTGTGGAGCACAGGATCCCTCTTTCTGTGTTGGTTCACCCCATTCAGCTCCATTCCCCCCCTCCACTGCCCTTCCTGGTCTCTGCCTAAGTAGCTCTTCTCCCTGCACATGAACTGTCGAAGCTTCCATCCGCCAGTGAGAGCAGGCCATAGCAGTTGTTCTGATGTCCTTCATATCCATTCATTTTGTTGCACATGACAGGAATTCTGACTTTGTGATCAAACAATATTCTATTGTGATGTAGTCCATCATCTTTATTCATCTGTCACTGGACGATGAGGTCAATTCCACAATACTATGAATAGGACTCCAAAAAATGTAGGAATGTAGGTATCTTTTTAATGATTTTTATTATTGTGCTAATTTCATTGTCTTTAACTATATCCTCAGTGAGGGGAATCAATCTCTTCACAGGTCACTCCTCTCAGATTCTATGAATAGCAGACTACAGTCTTTGCTCCAATTTTATTTATAGGCTTACAAGTTCAACTGGACACTGATTTGCAAGATACTGTCATTATGTGCACAGATAGTGGGATATGTATTTCTCACTAAAATTCTTAGCGGTAGAAAGCATCAGAGATGCCGTCTAACCAAAGCCTGTATGGTCATGAAACACTTCTAACCCTATGTTTCCGTAACTTGGAGTGGAATCTAAGAAATAAAGTGCATTCTAGTGTGAATCACTGATAGATAGACTGTTCCATAAAGTTTACTGATAATCAAAATTTAGGGCCCTGGAGGTCAAATATTATAATCCCCATATCAAAAGGGGAGTTTGACCACACTGGAGCCCCAGGCCCCTTGGTGTGGTTCAGTGTGCTGTCTGTGCTTGCTCTTGCCTGGCATACCATCCTGTTCTTTATGGCCCTTATAAAGTGAAGCACAGTCCCACAATCAGAAAAGAAGCCATTCAAGCCATACCACGTGTGCAGAAAATGGTGACTTAGAGCGTTGTGCAAAAGTGAAGTGACATTTCACTTTTCTGTCACAAAGAGCCAAGATATTTCTTCCTTCCTGTTAGTTTTCTCTCCAAAAGAGTTCTGCATCTTTCCGGCACCTCACCAAAGGGAAAGGTGCTCTTCTTGCTTCTCTGAGCTTCTACTCTCCCGGAATCGTCTTCATCACAGACAGGGAAGCAGAAGCTGCCCACGAGATTGGGGAACACGCAGCCCCTGGCCCCATCTCTGAGCTCCCCTCGCAATCTCTCCCAGCTCCATCCTCCCAGAACTGAGGCTGAGTGCCTTGCCAAAGCACACAGCAGGCACTCACTTGGGACACTTGACTCTTTTTTAAAAGAGAATTTATTATATAAAATTTCCACAGAATTTAACATTCAAAAAGCAGAACACACCTTCTCAGGCTGAGAATTACTCCACATACATCAATAATCTTATTGGGAAATAATGTTTTCCTGCTTGGTCACTTTTAGTTAACTTCCTCAGGGTGTCATGTGAAATAATTAATGTGAATATTTTCCATACAATAAAATGGAAAATAGTGAGTTCCCTGTAAAGGTGATTAGACTCGGGCTGTAAGCAGTTTCACGAGTCATTGGCTGAGACCTTCCCAGCAACACATCCCCCCCACCCCGTGGCCGAGAAGGAAGCTGCCTCATCCCCACTGATCAAATAAGTATACAACAGAAACATGGAGTCCCAGCTGGTGGCAAAATGCCTCCTGGCGACCAAAGGGAAGTAAGAAGCCTCCTCCCAAGCACCCCAGAAAAGAACACCCACACAGCAGGCTGTCCTCCAGCCATGTCATGGCTCCATTTCCAAAGAACTGAAGACTCCAGATAGCGTGGGCATTGAATTTTAAGATGTGGATTCATATAACCTTTAAATGAACTATTGTGTTTTCCTGCCTGTCAGATTAATTACACAAACATATGTGCAAATTGTGCTCGGCTACGAGAAGACAGCTCTAATTTTGACAAAGAGTGCACCTGCTCTGTCCCCTTCTACCTTATGGAGAAAATGGAGGTGAGTTCAGTGCACTGCGTGCTGGTTTTGCACTTTCCAGCAAATGTTTTCCAAAACCTGAGAACTATAGAAAGGAAGCACAGTAGAAATGGTGACTCTTGAGTCACTGACCCTGCAACCTCAGGTCAGCCTTTTTGTGTTGTTATTATTATTGCCTGTTTGTAAACCTTGAGATTCCTTTTTAAGATTTAATTTATTTATTTTACAACCCTACCGCAGTGTTTCCTCCCTCCTCTCCCCCCATTCCTCCCCCCACCTCTCCTCCACCTGCACACCCCATCCACTCCTCTGTTTGTTCAGAAAGAGGCAGGCCTCCCGTAGGTATCAACAAAGCATGGCATATCAAGTTGTCATAAAGTTAAGCACCTCTCCTTTTATTTAGGCTGGGCAAGGCAATCCAGTATGAGGAATGGGTTACCAAGAGCCAGCCAAAGCATAAGGGAGAGCCCCTGCTCCCATTGTTAGGAGTCCCCAAATAGACCAAGCTCACAACTGTCACATATATAGAGAGGGCTTAAGTCAGTCCCATGCAGGCTCCCTGATTGTTGGTTCAGTGAGCTCCTATGAGCCCAGGTTAGTTGATTCTGTGGGTTTTCTTGTGATATCCTTGGCCCCTCTGATCCTTTCTCCCTCTCTTCAGTGAGATTCCCAGAACCCAGCCTAAGGTTTGACTGTGGGTCTCTGCATCTGTTTCCATCAGTTGCTGCATGAGGCTCTCTGATGACAGCTCGGGTAGTCACCAATCTGATCCCAGGAGATGGCCAGTTCAGGCTATGTGTCCACTATTGCTAGGAGTCTTAGCTGGGGTCACACTTGGAGGTTTGTGGGAGTTTCCCTTGCATCAGAGTTCTACGTGTCCCTGAAAAGCCTGCCCTCAACCTCAAGATTCTAAACTTTTCAACATGGCTTGTAAGATCAGTCACATGGGTTCTATTATAAATATCTATGTGGACAGGGCTATAGAATGTATTGCATTTAACACCTCATGCTACGTGAAATTGTTAATGGACCGAGAAGCTACGTGACTTGGCCGAGATCACACATTAAATTACTGTCAAAGAGTTTTACCAGGCAGTCTTCTCCTTGGATTCTCCTACCCCAAGTCATCTTACAATGGTAGTTGCTTGATCCCGAAAGAGGCTTTCAGTTTGGCTCACTGGCAGTGTGAGAAATGCCAAGAAATACAAAGATGAACCCCTGCTGTTGGTGGATTCAGCTCTCATGTTCATACAGGTCCTAGGGAGATTTGGTGAAGAGACTTCCCAGAGCAGAAGGCAAGGCGGCAAGGAGAGCGGTCCACTCTGACCTTTAGGAAAGAGGGAGGGAAGGGAAAGAGGAGGGGAGAGTGCATGGATTTTCAAGAGATGATAAGGACTCAGGTTTGGGACCAGCTGAATGAGCTGTAAGCCCGAAGGTGGGTGTTCAGTGAGGAGAATGAGAGAAAATGAGCCTGTACCTGGATTCCTATGTGTAGTGGCATTCTGAAGGACAAGAGGGGACCAGGCCTGGTGGGGGGGACACTGAAAGGAAGGGGTGCTAAATGTAGGGTGCAGAATAGACATTTGAAATATCTTCGGGTAGTAGAATAAAATATATTTTTCATTTACATCTTGCCAGTTAGGAAAAACCATGGAGGCCTAAAAATCTCTTCTCCACTCTCCCTGTTGGGTGGGCAACTAAGGGGTGACTTCCAGGGGGATCTTATGAGCCAGTTACTAAGGTAGGCTCTCCCCAGAAGAGAAGCCTCCAGGCACGTCAGCGTCCTGAAGTCTTAAGAAACACTGCGACCTGCGGCCTTCCTTGTTCTAGTTCTTGCCCTCTCCTAGCTCCCAAGTTCATCCATACTTCTCCTGAATTCTTTCATTCCTTCTTGAAGGCTCAAAATTTTTAGATTTTTGAAGGAGGAGAAATCCCAAAGAGAAAACCTGGTATCAGTTGTCACCTCTCTGTGTGACCGTGGGGGAAAGCACAGAGCTTGCTGCTAAGTTAATGACATTCACAAGGAGCTTCTGGTTGCCTGGCTCCTGTGTGCCCAGCATGTGTGTTCACCTGCCCTGCATATGCTGGGTGACTCCAGTTCTAAGTTACATCACCTGGAATTACTTTGAAACTGTATCCATGGCTTTGGGTGCTTATATCAATGCAACACTCAAAGTGTTTGATGTATGTTTGTCCTCCCCTAAAGAAGCATCGAGACAGCTTCTGAAATGGAAGATAGAATGGTGACCCCCAAATGGCTGCGTGCAGCTTCAGCTTGGGGCAAAGACAAGGCCTGGGGGCCATCTCACTGAGCAATACACGCAAACCCACAGTCAACCCCACCAGTTAGCACCTCCTTCAAGTCGCTGCCTGGCAACTATCCCACAAACTCAGAACCATGCTCCATACAAGGAGGTTCATACAAGGTTGTTCATCTAAAACCAAGTCCCCACTGAAATGCTCAGTGTGCCAGCCCTCATCCATCCCCAAATATGCTCGCTACTCACTCTTGTCCACCCAGCTGCCCCTAGACTGCCATTTAGTACAATGACACAGCACCACGGAGGTCCCTAACCTAAGCAACAGCTGCTATGGCTACTCCTGCTGTCCCACCATGCCATAATATAAATACACCGCAGGAACGCATCTCCAGCAACATCTTAACACAAAGCCTGTTCTTCCCGCACAAGGTCCTTAACTGCTGACAGATGTCCCACTCCAGAGCACCAGCAAATCCTGGATGAGCAGCAGCTTCCTCTTAACCCAACCACACCCCCCACTCTTTCTGGGAAAATCACTGGAATGTTGTTGAATATTAATTACTCAAGCCACTTCAGTTGCTCGGGAAAGCTTACGTCAGACCGGCTGATGATCCAGCTGTTTCAGATCAATTGGGGACCCCAAAAAGAAAATTGTGTTTCATCAAGGAAAAATATCTAGATATTGAAATCTTATAAATAGTATTTCAAAATTTTAGAGCATGATATGCCAAGCGTTTTTCCTAGTATTGCCACAAAGAGACGAATTTCATAAATCTGCATTTATGCATTGAAAATACACAGCCTAAGGCTGGGCATGGTGGTATACGCCTTTAATCCCAGGACTCCAGAGGAATCTTATTTGCTTCTTATTTCTCTTCCATGCAGGGTAATGTTTATATGTACTACAAATTGTATGGTTTCTATCAGAACCTCTATCGATATATTCTGTCAAGAAGCAATAGTCAACTGGTGGGTAAGGATATTTGGGTAAGGCTCAGTCCCATTTGGTATAATACTTTCTTCTTAAGACAAGGGGTTATTTCAGTCTAGAAGACAGGAGTGGGGCAGGGCTCAGCATCTAGAATTTTGAAGATAGAAATGTTTGCTTCATTCTTAAAGTGAAGGGACTGAGCATTTTAGGTAAATACTTTTGGGAGAGGGCACTGGCCCACTTTAAAGCAGTTAGTCTGTGTGCTAACCAACTAACTATTCTTCACGCATTTACAAAGACCATGATCTCTGTTTGGTTCACTTGTTAACAAAGTTTGTCTGGCTTTCTATAACCAAGGTCCTTGATCTAGCCTACTTAAAGGAAATTTTCTTAAATAAAAGTCTTTGGTTCAACTAAGTACAAAAGCCTGGGTCTAACCTAGGCTTCTAATTTATTCTCAGTAGTTCCTGTGTTAGTGAGAGAAACTCTCACTAACTGTTTTCCAATCTGACAGTCTATGAAGTGATAACCTAGCAGTTCCCTGTGAAGTCATCTAGCTATGGAATCTGACCTGAATACTCCTCTGAACATGGTAACTTTACGAAAAGGATTTTAAAAAGTGTTTCCATGTAGACTGAATGTGATACTCAGCATAGGAAGGTAAAAATCCTTCCCACAAATAGTTTTGGCGTGCTCTGTATTGTTAAAAAGGATATAAAATACCTAGACATCCATATGCACTTATGTCTCCAAAGATTGAAGTTTTCTAGTCTAAGTAAGCAGAAACCCTGAGGAAAACAGGTAGCAACAGTCCATAATCTTTAACCATGCCAATGCACTAATGAGAGTTGATACTCATTGCCAGAGTTCTCTCTTGCAATGGTCTGAGAGTTTGCCAAGAGCACTTCTCACTGATACATCATCTCACACACAGGATGTTAGCAACTGTGCCCCGTTCCAGGTGTCCCACAACAACACTCCTATCGTTCCCTGCGGTGCAATTGCCAACAGCATATTCAATGGTAGGTGACTTTTTTTCTACCTCTTTCATAAGTGTGTAACCACCCCCACATTCAGGATGTTACCCGGGCAGCTGAATGGCTCATTTTATTTGCTTACTTAATGCCAAGTATTTATCCAGGATAAGCCAGAACACTGATGTCTGGAGTTTCATTTGTAAATAACTTCTCCCTCGCCAGCAATCTGAAGGAATAGTCAGAGAACACAAATTAAATGGAGCCAAAGAATATTTTTCAATAATTGGCTCAATGTTGGTAAAGGAAAAACTGATCTCATGATTCAGCATCTATGACATGTAGGCGTGTTGAGTGTCTGCAACAAAACCTAATTTGTTTTTCATCTGTGTCTGGGTCTGCATTTTGAAAGGTGGTAAAATGGCTACCTATCATCTTTACCGTAATATTAAATTTCCTTTCAGATACCATAACTCTTTCATATCACCTTAATTCGTCTATACATATAGAAGTCCCGATGCTAAAGAGCGGGCTTACATGGTGGACGGATAAGTATGTCAAATTTCGGAACCCAAGAACCAGTGATCTTGCTAGTGCATTTGCAGGTAAGATCCAGACAATTGCTCCATAGCCTTACTCCCGCCCCCACCCATTTTTGGAGACAGGGTCCCTCTCCTTAACCCTGACTGTTCTCAGCTCACTGTGCACACCAGGCTACTGTAGAACTCAGAGATCTGCCCTCCTCTCCTCCATAATGCTTAGGTTAAAGGAGGTGTGTGCCACCATGCCTGGTTCTCTCTCTCTGTGTGTGTGTGTGTGTGTGTGTGCATGCAGGGAGATCTTTTTTTTTATTATTTCTTTAATTCCTGTTGCTCTAAATTTCCCCATCCTGGACCCATTTCCTACATTGCTTACCTTTTACAACTGTGAAATCATTGGTTCTCTATTTTGTCAAATAATTGGTTTTGTTCTAATTAACCATTAAGAAAAAGTAAATGTTTTAGGAAACCCGTATTTAAGCTACATTTGCAACTGGACACATCGGGGGTGGTGAGACACGGTTTCTCTGTGTAGCCTTGGCCGTCCTAGAACTCACTCTGAAAACCAGGCTGGCCTTGAACTCAGAGATCTGCCTCCTTCTGTCTCAAGGCATGCACTACCATGCCCAACTTCAACTGGATACATTTTTGAGAATAAAAATAACTATCTACTTATTTTAATTTTTCATGTATTGATTAATAAATCAACATATGATGGACCTATCAAACAATTCTACCCAAATCTACTCTAAATTTTTTAGATCTACTTTCAACAATGCTGGTTTTTCAAAAATTAAAATATATAATGCTTATTAAATGTCTTTTTGAAATATTTGCTTTAGTAATTATCAAACATTAAAAGATAATACAATAGAATACTTTTCCTGAATATCCATTCACATGCTTAATAGGTTTCTTAACCATCTGTGTTATGACATTCTTTTAATTATTTCAAAAAATTGTCTTAAACTTTAAAAAATGAATTCTGTAGTTAATCAGTTTGAGATTGTCAGCACCTTTAAATGAGTCTTCTCTCATTCTCAAGAGTCTGAGTAAATACCGTCTCCATACTAGTAGTCACTTTTGTTAAATGGGTTAGTGTCTTAGGGTTTCTGTTGCTGCGACAAAACACGCGACCGAAAAGCAAGTTGTGGGTACAGGGTTAGTTAGGCTTACACTTCAGCACTGCCATTTGTCTCCCAGGGAGGTCAGCACAGGAACTTAAACAGGACCGGCTTCCGCAGTCAGGAGCTGATGCAAACGTCTTAGAGGGGAGCTGCTTACTGGCTGGCTTCCCATGGCTTGCTCGGCCCACCTTTGCATAGAACCCAGGACCAGCAACCCAGGGATGGCAGCACCCACCATGGGCTGGGCCCTCCGCCATTGATGACTAATTGAGAAAATGCCCTATAGCTGATCTCATGGAGGCACTTCCTCAGCTGAGGCTCCTTCCTCGCTGATGACTGGCTTGTGTCAAATTGACACACAAAACCAGCTGGAACAGAGGAGAATGTCAATTTTTATTTCATTGTAGTGAATATGCGAGTATTTTAATCCAAGTATTTTCATAGACTTTTTTTTGTTTCACAGTTTTTTCTATTTTTTTTAATGTGTCGTGAAGTTTAGATGCTACAGTATAAATCTTGGACTTTCTCAGTATCCCTTCACTCTGGCACAAAAAGTCCTTAACCCAAAGTGCGAGTGCTACCAATAGTCTTTATGGAAGTCAAGATAATCCGAAGCCTAATTATAAAGTTCAAAAATTGAATGTTATTTTGAAATACCATTGTGTAATATGTCCAGTCATTCCTCTGCTGTCACCTGAGTAAACTTTAATCTTTGCTTGGAGGCTTACTTTTTAAGAAGCATTGCTCACAAAGTCACCCCAACCTAACATTTCTGACGTTACCTAGTTTGCATACTTTAAAAGAAATTTCAATTAGCATGCACAAAGTACACCCGAAGTTAAAGGGCTCATTAAAGAAAAAGTTGGGGGTCACTGTAGAACACAGCGTGAGTGGTTGGTGTGCACCAGCCTTCCTCCAAGCTCCAAGCACTCCAGACTTCTTTCTGATGACATGCGTGCTGAAATATGTAGCTACCTGTCACGAGTGTCACTAAGGATTTTGCAAATATTTTGCCAGTATAGAAAAAAAAATACTTGTTGTGTGGCTGAAACTCTCAATAAGTAATGTGGTATCGTTAATGGGCACTATTGTGATTTATGCATACATCGTACGAGTTTAAGGACATTTCCTCTCTGTTGCTTTCTCTACTAACTGAGAGAATTAGCTTCACTCTGGGGTTCTGCTCCACCAAATTTTCACTTCTTTTATTACTACAAAAGCAAACAATTTAAAGTTGATCATTGAAGTTCTCAACTGAGTTTATAGTAACATCTATAATAAATGCCAGATTTTTATCTTCATGATTGACTTTCTAAAAGCACTGCTTTGATTCCATGAGGAATTAAACCCAAGGGTTTATTATTGCCTGAGTTTTCCTGTCTGAAGACATTCACATAAAACTAGCTTTATTTAACTGTTCACAGTTCTCCTGGGCTGAAGTCAACACATTAAGACCTCTCTTTGGCTATGAAGAAAAGTTTTTAAGTCAAAACCTAGGGACCAGAGAGAGAGCTCAGGAAGTAAAGTGCCCGCTGCTGCATGAGGACCTGATTCAGATCCCTGTGCCCACATAAAAAGTGGGTGTGGCCATGCACACTTGTGACCCTCATACAGGGCAGGGAATGGGGGAAGCAGGTCGATCCCTGGAGCCCCTAGTCAGCCAATTTAGCCCACTGGTGTACTCTAGGTTCAGGAGTCACCCTACCTCAAAAAGCTATTCAGAACAACGCACAGCGTCTATTATAAGCATACACATGCTCATATACAAATACATGCTCATGTACATGTACACAGGTACACTTTCATACACACTCACGTACACTCACGTACACTCACACACACACACACACACACACACACACAGACACACACACACACCCCAAAACTAGGCTAGGTGTACTGCTCATCCCAGGCAGGACTCAGGAATATGGAAAAAGACTTTGTATCGAAAATTATATAAACAACCAGAACAATAAAATGAAAATAAAAATTAATCCATTTATTATTTTTTGAAAATGGGGTCTCGTAGTCTCACTCTGGCTGGCCTTAGACTCACAGAGTCACTGCCCCTGCCTGCTGAGTACTGGGACTAAAGGTGTGTGCCATCACACCCAGTTCCATCTAATCTTAATGAAGCCATGCTCCAGGAAAGATATAGAAATGGACCTTCTGCAGGAATTAAACCAGTGTCTGGGCACAGTCTTTAATCACAGTCTTTCAAATAAGTTCAGATATTCTCCTGATTTGCATTACTTTTATTTCACATGGCCATTAGCATCACTGTGGTTGCCATGTGGAATAATGTCAACCAAACTGGGTCATTTTCAGCTACACTACAAAAATGCACTTAATTTTACATTAAACATGCACTCCAGTTTTTAGCTCTTCACAGCTAAATAAAAGGAAACAATCAAGAAATGTTATTATTGGATGGATGGATGGATGGATGGATGGATGGATGGATGGATGGAAACAAATGACCCAAGTTAACTTGGATAATGAAGGAAGTTAATGTCTCAGACCAAAGCATGCATCTGACACCATCCAGATAAATGGGAAGTGGTGGGATTGGAAGGTGGTAGGGAGGGCTTAAAGCATGCATTCTGGGGCTGGAGAGCTGGCTCAGTGTTTACGAGCACTGGCCACTCTTCCAGAGGACCCAGGTTCAATTTTCAGCACCCACATGGCAGCTCACACCTGTCTGTAACTGTAGTTCCAGGACTTCTGACACCGTTACACAGGCATACATGCATCAGTGAGCATAAAATAAAAATAAATTTTAAAAAATGATTTAAAAAATAGACAAACCTGCATTTCTTTTTTTGTAAAATAGCAAACTGCTTTTTTAACATAAAAATTTAATATTAATTTCAGTCATGCCATTTAGCCTTTTTCTTTGCCTATCCAAACAATTAAAAAGAGAAAAATAAACAGATACACAAAATAAGATAAATTTTTTTTAAAAAAAGAAAACAAACCTGAATTTTTTTTATTGATTTTTATTGAGCTCTACATTTTTTTCTGCTCCCCTCCCAATCTCTCCCCTCCTCCTTCAACCCTCCCCCAAGGTCCCCATGCTCCCAATTTACTCAAGAGATCTTGTCTTTTTCTACTTTCTACTTCCCATGTAGATCTCTCTTATTGTCCTCATTGTTATCTAAGTTCTCTGGGATTGTGGTTTGTAGGCTGGTTTTCTTTGCATTGTGTCTAAAAACCACCTATGAGTGAGTACATGTGATAATTGTCTTTCTGTGTCTGGGTTACCTCACTCAAAATAATGTTTTCTAGCTCCATCCATTTTCTTGTGAAATTCAAGATGTCATTTTTTTTGGCTGTGTAGTACTCCATAGTATAAATGTACCACATTTTCTTTATCCATTCTTTGGTCGAGGGGCATTTAGGTTGTTTCCAGGTTCTGGCTATTGACAAACAAAGCTGCTATGAACATAGTTGAGCACATGTCCTTGTGGCACGATTGAGCATCCTTTGGATATATACCCAAAAGTGGTATTACTGGGTCTTGAGGAAGGTTGTTTCCTAATTTTCTGAGAAATCGCCACACTGACATCCAAAGGAGTTGTACCAGCTTGCATTCCCACCAGCAATGCAGAAGTGTTCCCTTTTCCCCATAACCTCTCCAGCATAAGTTGTCATCCGTGTTTTTGATCTTGGCCATTCTTACAGGTGTAAGATGGAATCTCAGAGTTGTTTTGATTTGCATTTCTCTGATGGCTAAGGATGTTGAACATTTCCTTAAGTGTCTTTCAGCCATTTTAGATTCCTCTGTTGAGAGTTCTCTCTTTAGGTCTGTACCCCATTTTTTTATTGGATTATGTGTTCTTTATTGGATTATGTGTTCTTTTGGTGACCAGTTTCTTGAGTTCTTTGTATATTTTGGAGATCAGACCTGTCTGATGGGGGTTGGTGAAGATCTTTTCCCAATCTGTAAGCAGTCATTTTGTCTTGTTGACCGTGTCCTTTGCTTTACAGAAGCTTTTCAGTTTCAAGAAGTCCCATTTATTAATTGTTTCTCTCACTGTCTGTGCTGCTGGGGATATATTTAGAAAGTGGTCTCCAGTGCCAATGAGTTCAAGTGTATTTCCCACTTTCTCTTCTATCAGTTCAGTGTGGGTGGCTTTATGTTGAGGTCTTTGATCCATTTGGACTTGAGTTTTGTGCATGATGATAGATATGGGTCTATTTTCATTCTTCTACATGTTGGTATCCAATTATGCCAGCAACACTTGTTAAATATGCTTTCTTTTTCCATTTGATTTTTTTTTTTGCTTCTTTGTGAAAAATCAGGTGTTCAAAGATATCCGGGTCTTCTGTTCGGTTCCATTGGTCCTCCTGTCTGTTCTTACACATGTTCTTAGGCTGTTTTCAGTACTGTAGCTCTGTAGTAGAGTTTGAAGTCAGGAATTGTGATGCCTCCAGAAGTTCTTTTATTTTACAGGATTGTTTTGGCTACCCTGGGTTTTTGCTTTTCCATGTGGAGTTAAGTACCGTTCTTTAGAGGTCTTTGAAGAATTTTGCTGAGATTTTGATGGGCATTGCATTGAATCTGTAGATTGCTTTTGGTAAGATTGCCCAAACCTGCATTTATTTTTTGTTGTTTGTTATTGTTTTGGTTTTTTGAGACAGGGTTTCTCTGTAGCTTTGGAGCCTATCCTGGAAGCCTATTTGCTGTGTTGGTCAGGCTGGCCTCGAACTCACAGAGATCCGCCTGCCTCTGTCTCCAGAGTGCTGGGATTAAAGGTGTGTTCCACCACTGCCTGGCACAAACCTGCATTTCTAACAAGCTGCTTCAGACACCAGATATGCCTGGCATACATCACCTTGGGGCATGGTTACAAAACAAACTAGTAAGTAGCTGGGGTCTACAATGTAAGCCCCAAACACATTTTTTTTATTAGAATCAATGACTGGTATCTTCCATGCTGTTTGCAGAGGAGGATTAGCAGTCCAGGGGAAGTATGGATGGTATAAACTGCTCCAGCTGATAATCACAGCAGACTTAGTACAGCTTTTATAAGCACCTTAGCCTGTGCCTGGGAGGCTCTGGGAAGCAAACCATCCCAGGTGGAAAGGAATGGTATTTTGGTTATGGGTTTTGTTGTTGCTGTTGCTGTTGTCTTTGAGACAAGGGCTCACCATGTAACCTTGACTGACTGAGATTAGTTAGTTGTCTCCACCTCCCAGTGCTGGGATTCTAAGCGTGTGACATCACACATATGCAAGAGGACTTGTATTTACCTATTGAGTCTCCTATAAGTAGGACTGGTCTTACAGCAGTAAATGTTCCTCGCACAATTTACTGTGGTTGATTAGCTACCCGAAATTCAACGTGGAGTCTATCAGCTTTTGGCAGATTTAATAAGACTCTTTGATCCCTCGAAGCATTAACTGATAATTGGATACCTGTCATGTTCCAGATTCTAGAATAAATGCTAGTGGACATGTGAGTGTGATTCTGTCTTCAAGAGTGCTCTGTAGAGTGGGGATAGCAATACTCTCAGCAGGAAATCGAAGTCTGAGTGTGGGGGCAGTCAATGCCTGAGTCTCCGGGCTTCACACTGGCCTGGGGTTCAAACATGTAGCTGTGCTCCCATGGGGTGAGTGCGAGTATGTGTGGGGGCAGGGAATGAGTGTGTTACAGTGCAAGTGGGGAAGTCAGAAGACAGCTTTGGAGAGCTGGTTCTCATCTCCCACTGTGTGGGGTTCCAGGGATTGAACTGGGTCTTCGATCTTGACATCACTCACCCTTAGCACTGAGCCATCCTACTGACCCTGATATAATGTTTTTAATCCTACAAGATTATTATACGCTCTTCCTTAGAATGTTTAAAACAGTATAGTTAAGGATTAATTAAGCTGTAAATTAAGCTGTTACACATATTCTCCTTTTTTTTCCCGTTAGACTTGTTTATTCAAGTATCCGAAAACACTCTTTCCACTTCCTGCCCTCCTCCCAATACCCTCCCACTCCCCCCACTCCCCCCACTCCTTCTCCTCCTCCCTCACCATTCCTCAGAGCAGTCAGGGTTCCCTGCCCTGTGGGAAATCCAAGTTCCTTCCCCCTCCCTCCAGGTCCAGGAAGGTGAGCATCTAGACAGGCCAGGATCCCAAAAAGCCAGTCCATGCAGACGAAACAAGACCCAGTGCCATTGTCAATGACTTCTCAGTCTTCATTTGGACCTTGGGGGCTCAGTCAGCCCCCATGTCAACCACATTCAGAGAGTCCGGTTTGATCTCATGCTCGTTCAGTCCCAGTCCAGCTGGCCTTGGTGAGCTCTCATTAGATCAGTCCCCTTGTATCAGTGGGTGAACGCGCCCTTCGCGGTCCTGACTTCCAGTGCTCCAATGTGGGTCTCTGTCTCTGTCTCCATCCATCGTCAGATGAAGGCCCCCTCTGATTTTGCTTTCCTTGCTCATAATCTCCCTCCCTCTGCTTCTCATTTGGGCCTAGGGAGTTAAGTCCAGTGTTCCAATATGTGTCTCTGTCTCTATCTCCATCCTTCGCCATATGAAGGTTCTGTGGTGATATGCAAAATATTCATCAGTATGGTTATGGGCCAAGGCCAGTTCAGGCACCCTCTCCTCTGCTGCCCAGAGTACAATCTGGGGACCTCTTCTTGGGCCTGGGAACCCCTCCAGAATCAAGTCTCTTGCATATCCTAAAATGGCTCCCTTAGTTGAGATATAAACTTCCCTGCTCCCATAACCATCCTTCCTCCCTCCCCCCCCATTCCCCCAATCCCGCCCCGATCCCCCCCTTCTTTCCTCTCGTTAACCATCTCCCCGTACTTCCACCACCCCCCCCCCCCGTGCACCCAAGTTTGCCTGGCAATCTTGCCTAGTTCTAATATCCAGGAGGATAACTATATGATTTTCTTCAGGTTCACCTTCTTATTCAGCTTCTCTAGGATCACAAATTATAGACTCAAAGACCTTTAACTATGGCTAGAAACCACTTATGAGTGAGTGCATACCATATTCCTCTTATTGGGTCTGGGTTACCTCACTCAGTAAGCGTTTTCTATTTCCATCCATTCACATGCAAAATTCAAGATGTCATTGTTTTTTACCGCTGAGTAAAACTCTAATGTGTACATGTTCCACACCTTTTTTAACCATTCTTCTATTGAGGGGCACCTAGGTTGTTTCCAGGTTCTGGCTGTTACAAATAATGCTGCTATGAACATAGTTGAACAAATAAAGCAAAGGACACTGTCAGTAAGACAAAAAGGCTCCCTTCGGACTGGGAAAAGATCTTCACCAACCCCTCATCAGACAAAGGTCTGATCTCCAAAATATACAAAGAACTCAGGAAACTAGACACTAAAACTCTAATTAACCCAATTAAAAAATGGGGTATTGAACTGAACAGAGAATTCACAACAGATGAACTTCGAATGGCCAGAAGACACTTAAGGTCATGCTCAACCTCCTTAGCGATCAGGGAAATGCAAATCAAAACCACTTTGAGATACCGTCTTACACCTGTCAGAATAGCTAACTCAAAAACACCAATGATAGCCTATGCTGGAGAGGATGTGGAGTGAGGGAACACTCATCCATTGTTGGTGGGAATGCAATCTTGTACAGCCGCTGTGGAAATCAGTGTGGCGGTTTCTCAGGAAACTGGGAGTCAACCTCCCTCAGGACCCAGCAATTCCACTCTTGGGAATATACCCAAGAGATGCCCTATCATACTACATATTCTCCTTTTTAAAGCCAAATTTCTATTGCCCTTCCATTGCAAATGCAGTTCTTTCTCTAAGGAAAGCTAAAGAGAGAACTGACTTTTCTCTACCATATTTCTCATGTTCCCAACCCCACAGGAAGTGCAAAGCCTCCGCACTGGGCCAGACCTATCTATGAGCTAGATACGGAGGACCCAGGAAACAATGGCTTCATCAATGAGGACTTCATTGTGTGGATGCGGACTGCAGCCTTTCCCACGTTCAAAAAACTGTACCGCCGACTCAGACGCGTGCACTACTTTGTCGATGGCTTACCTGCCGGCAACTACACTTTCAGCATATCCTACAGTATCCTTCTGTGCCATGTCCTCTTTTTGAAGTGAAAGCAAAATCTTGCCTCTTACTGTTGAACTCCTTCTTTCTGCTTTTGCTTTCCATCCTGATGTGTGTACCACTGAAAAACAGACGACTGTTGTACAGCAATCCACACGAAGACAGGAGATACTAGCTCCTCAACAGCGGGGGAGCGGGGGTGTCTGACTCTGGACTGACGTGTCAGGAGAAAACTGTTCATATTTTGTTTATATTATTGTAGTTTAGAACCCTCCCCAAAAATAGAGACCCCAAAAAGTGGCTGCGTGTATTTACGTACTAGTTTTAAAGGAGTGTCAATTATAGAAGAACAGCTGAAGGTTACTTTAGCCAAATTTGCTTGCACAGGTTGCCCGGTGATGGTAAAGATATTCCTTTTCTTTCTTCCTTCCTTCCTTCCTTCCTTCCTTTTTTTCTTTTTGTAATCGGGTCTCACCATGTATCTCTGGCTGTCCTGGAACTCACTATGTAAACCAGGTTGATCTCAGATGCACAGAGAACCACCTGCTGCAGCCTCCCAGGTGCTAAGATTAAAGGCATTTGTCCCCAAACCTAGCTAAACGTATTTATTCTAGTGTCAGTGGGCGTTTTTCATCCTTCTCTATGTTGTTAGACGAGAGTGGACAGTTAGCATGATCGTCTCTGTGTTGTCAGAGAGTGGACAGTCAGCATGCCCTTCTTGCACTTGCTGATTTTCAAGTCTCTAAAGTCGAAAGAATATACCAAAGTGGCATATTTGGGAGTGATATGTCTCCTGCTATCATAACATCATCATATAACTGTGTCTAAAGTATGTATTTATGTATCTTACATTTATTTATTTCATTTTATATTCCAACCACAGTTCTCTCTCCCACCCCTCTTTCTGTCCCCCTCACCTCCCTGCCAGCGCACCCCCACATCTACTCCTCTCAACTAAGGGCTTCCATGGGGACTCAATGAAGTCTGGCATATTAAGTTGGGCCAGGACCAAGTCCCTTCGCCCACATTAAGGCTGAGTATAGCATCCCCACATGGTGAATGGGCTCCAACGTTTTAAGGAACAACAGGCAGTAGCAATGCCAGGTGTACATAGATAGGGAAAGAGTACTTTTGTCCCCAAGAAAGATCAATAAAGAGCAGATGCAAACATCTAAATCAGCGAGGGGAAACACACCACATGGAGTAGGATGAGATGGAATATCAAAACTAAAAACTAAGGGGATATGCAGTACATCTGGAGGGTAGACTAGAATCGCAGACACTGGCACAGACCATAGATCTTTTAGACAAAAGTGTGTTAGAGCAAGGGAGCCTGCATCTCCCTCACCCCCCACCCCGGGAAATGCATAGCCTCTGTACCTGACCCAGCCTACCTATGGACTAGATAAAGACCAGCCAGTAAACAATGGCTTCCTCATTGAAGACGTCGCTGGGTGGATGTGGACAGTTTGACGCAGTCCGTGCCAGGAACACTGTGAACTCTGCACTGCAGATGTGTGTTCTTCCTGCCGTAGGTACAGAGCCTGCCAGTGGGAGCTGATGTCTTAGTAACAGGCAGACGGGCTGAGTTAGCATTCATGTCTTCTAATAATGGATTATGATGTTTCCCTCCTAATTGAAAAATACAAATGTGAGCCTGGCTTTAAAAAACAATGACGTTTTAGCTGTAAAATGTTACCAAATCTTATCTTTAAGTATTTATATATTACATATAATTTAAACTAACTGTGGTCTTAGGAGTTCATTTCCCTAGTCAGGTGCACACCCAGCTTTGAAACATCCACCCAGTTAGGCATCCACACCCTTACATATAGCACGCCAGGGTAGCTGACTGGGATTGGTCTAGAGGTCACCCTGCAGGCCAGCCCTTCTCCACGCTGAACTGGCCACTTCCACAGTCTCACTCCCAGGGAGGTTCAATCTAGAAATTCTTTTTTTCTTTTTGAGGTTGGATCAGACCCAGGACCTTGGGCACACTAAGCAAATGCTCCTCCACCGAGCTACACGCCTAGTCCTGGGATGGAACAGCCTGGGCACAGTGTGAAGTGCAAATGTCCACATGTGGCCCTGTGCCCTTCTCCGGGATTTCCTCTTTCTCCTGGGGCAGGTGTGTGGAACTCTCCCACAGGAGTGTAGCAATGCTCCTCTATGAGAGCCTGATGTGGCATCTCTGCCTTGTCCACCTTCTGTTTTCCTTTGGAGTAGTTGTTTTACAGCAGAGATTGAATGTTGCCTGCTGAGTGTCTCTCAGGTTGAATCTCCCGATTCCATGGGCTCCGTGACTATCATAACAGTAAACTGTACAAGAAACTGCAGAAGAAAAAAAAGATCAAGATGCCGCCTTTGCCCCCTGCTATAATTTAGGTTGGGAGTGAGGAAAGGAAGCCAAGGGAGATGCTGTTTTTCCTCTCCGGACATGCTCTCCCCAGTGACTGCTAACAGCCACACCTGAATGGGGATCTTTGTATGGTCCATACACAACTTCAGCCCTGAATGTGAGCCCTCTGCTTCACCACCCGTGTGGCCTGGCTGAAGTCTGGACTGCAGCAGTGCAGGCCCCGTAGGTGAGAACAGGACTCTCCCTTTCAAATGACCTGGAAGAGAATGTAGGCGGGAAGATGAGGTTAGGCAGCACTAAGGACCAGGTGACAATGAGGAATTCCAGTATTGAAAAAGAAACAGAGGACTTGTCCCTAACACGTTGCCTTGTGCCTTTAAATAGCGCATTGCCAAGAGATTGAAGCCTTCTAAGAGCTTTGCTGGGAAATGCCTCTGTCCTCTGTGTTGCTATGAGAAGGCTTTGTTTGTTTATTAGTTTCGTTTACAAAAGGCACCAGATGTTTAAAACCCTCAGGCCACATGCATCATGAGGATGACATCATTAAAATGCTACATAGTAAACCCACTTCAAACACTTTCTCACCAGCAGCAGGGACACTGCCTTTGCAAAACGCTAACAAGTCTGCTGCTTTAGAGTTCTCACCGAAAATGTTTCACTGTTCATCCTGGCGTTTTCTTTGTTGTTGTTCTTCTTAAAGACTTTTATCCGTGGAAAGAATTCGTGCTTTAACCTCTCTGGAGTCTTCTGGTTCATGATTAGAACCTTCAGCTTGCTGTGAACACTATTCTATTCTTTCTGCTGCCTCGGAGTCATCAAAGGGAGTTAGATACCTGTTCCTTATCTGACTGCTGACAAATCATTCAGCTCAATATACTCTGCATCTCCTGTCCTCACTCTAGCTATGTGGAGGGGAACCTGGCTTTGACTAGTTTTATTCTAGCAAGATAAAGTACTAATTGGCTGTGTTGAAACATGTGAAGTTGAATAATTAACCGTTTTGTGTCTCCAAAAAAGATCAGTTTCATATAACCTAATCTAGTGTATTTGTGTATGCCATGGGACAGATGATATACTGAGTCCTTAACAGATCTTCTTAGATTTTCCGGTTACCGTGTTCCGAGGAGAAAAATCTGTTGTTCTTTCCACCCTGACGTGGATCGGAGGGGGTGGCCTTTTCCTGGGGCTTATGTACACAGTGACAGGGGCATTGACATTGGTGGCCTCTTTTGTCATCCTGGCAATTCACCTGATGCTGAAAAAGAGTAAAAAAGATTTCCTGTAGGGGCGAAGTCAAGGTTTGAAAAGAAGACTAGCAGAAGGCAAAAGTGGACAATGAAGTAAAGGAAGTGAAGACCTCCGGCAAAGCTGAAATATTTCGGAGTCATCTCAACAGGGGGTTACTGGATTGACTGAATCCAATATCATCTCAACTATATGGATAAACAAAGAGATTCCCAGCGCGGGGTGAAGAGAAGGACTAAGGAGGAGGAGGAGGAGGAGAAGGGAAATATGTGCAGTAAAATGTCCTTGGAATGAAAACAATAAATGATTTTTGAGCTCAAGACCAAGTGTTAAGAATTTGAAGTTCCTGTACTTGAGAGTGGGTGAGTTCCCTAGGGGCCCACCATTAAAACAAGAGCAAGCAAGCTGAAACTGAGTCCTCTAGCTAGCCAGATAGACTCAGTCTTCTGGGCGGATGAATTCATAAATTTTTCAAAGATGGACCACTTGTTGAGCCGAGCAGTGGAAGTGAGTCACAACCAAGTTTTCCTGCTAAGACTAGACCGAGCAATGCTTAGCTACATCCTTGGTATCCAAAGTACAATGCGCCAAAGGAAAGTTTCTCTAATGCTACCCAAGATAAAAGCATTAAGAGTGACTGATTCTTTAAACTATGTTGGGAACACAAAGCATTTCTAGAACTGATACTAAAACGGCACTAGCTAGAATATAAACGATGGCTGGCCTCAAACTCACTGTCTGCCCAGGCTGGCCTTTGACTCATAATCCCCCTGCCTCAGTAGCCCTAGTGCTAAGATTATAAGTATGTGCCACTTCACTACTTATGCTAGTTGTTCACCTTACTGTGACAAAGTACCTAACAAGAAGCAATTTCGAAGCCTATCAGTGGTGGCACATGCATTTAATCCCAGCAGTTGGGAGGCAGAGTCAGGTGGATCTCGGTGAGTTCGGGACCAGCCTGGTCTACAGAGCGAGTTCCGGGTCAGCCAGGCTACACAGAGAATCCCTGTCCTGAAAACCCAAAAATAAGTAAATGAGTAAGAAATAAATAAAAATAGAAGCCAGGCCTGATGGTGCAAGCCTTTAGTCCCAGCAGAGGTAGGTGGTTCTCTGTGAGTTCAAGACCAGCCTGATCAGAAAAGAAAGAAAAAGATGAAGAAGCAGCAGCAACTGAAGAGAGGAGGCGTTTGTGTGGGCTTCCAGTTCCAGAGACTACAGTCTGTCGTGTTGGAGAAGGTACGGCTGTAGGAGCAGGAGGCAGCTGGTCACACTGCATCAAAAGTCAGAAATCAGAGAGATGGATGCTGGCGCTCGGCTGGCCTCCCCTTCTGTGTATTCCAGGACTCCAGCACACAGGATGCTGCTGCTCATGTGTGTTTTGTGTCTTGTACTCAGTTTAAAGTTGACAGCCATTCCCCAGACACTTGTCTCTTACGTGATTCTAAGTCCTGTCAAGTTAACTGTCGATATTAACCATCATGCCAGGCTCAGCACTGATGTTTGCTGCTGGAATTCTATCCATAAATGGAAAAGAATTTGTGATTTTAAGCTCAGAGTAAGTGGGAGCTTGCAACAGTAGCAGTGGAAAATCAATACACCAGGGATTGGCGATGCTATAGTCATCTCAGCAATTGTCTTTGGTGTTTGGGTGACCTGCCCAGAACAGAGCAAAAGAAAGTCACACCCACTAACCTCTAACCCCGCGCTCCTGGCCCTTTGTCCCACAGCCCTCTTTTACAGTGCTAGTTTGGAAAGAAATGCAACTGTTGTATCTCAAACTTATAAGGATATAAGGTAGAAAGATGTATCAGTCAGGGATCGATCGGAAGACAGAAATCTCTCTCTCTTTCTCTCTCTCTCTCTCTCTCTCTCTCTCTCTCTCTCTCTCTCTGTGTGTGTGTGTGTGTGTGTGATTGGTAGGTAAACATTTCTTTTTTACGTTTGGTTTGTGTGATGGTTGCGACTCTACATTCTACTAGATGAGTCCTGCTCAAGAAAAGACTTGTGGTCAGAAGTCCAAAAGTATTCTGGCAGGAGGTGTTATGCTGTGGGTGGACTCTTGAGTTTGCTGAGTGCTCTCTCTTGATGAGAGTCCAGCCTTTTCTAGTCAAGGCTCCACATACTATGTAGGACAGACAGTCAGTCTGCTTTCTGAGGATTCCACTGAGGAAATTCTCATCAGAAACATCCAGAATAATCCACCAGCTATCTTGGAACTCCATGGCTTGGTTAAGTCGGCATCAAATTAACCATTACAGACGCCAGGAAGACACCAGTGTTCAACAAGTAGCTAAGCACCTTCCCAAAGAAGGCACCCTTGATTCCACTCTGAGACAGACTTGGCTTGTGGCGAGTATTGTTCTTTTTAAAAATATAATATGATGGGATGGCCCCGGGCGGCCTGCAAGCCAGGCAGAAGCTGCTGCCAGAGCAGTACAGGGTCCCCGGGCGAGCAGCAGAGTCAGGCGGCTGGATGCAGTGGACGGCAGAGTAAATGGATATAAGGCTATACATAAAGCTAGACGTTTATTACTTAAAGAAAGAGAGACATAGACAAACATAGAGAGAACAAAGACACGTACACACGACACGAAACAAACACACACACACACACACACACACAC